AAATATCATCTATGAATTGAAATAACAAATATCACACATTCATTGATTTAGTAAAAGTGATAGTCGAAGGCGACTAATACTACGAATATCTATCTACACTACAAAATCTTTACAAAGAATTTAAAATAGAGGAAAATATGTAAAAGAATTGGAAAAGAGATAAAAAAAAAAAAAGGGAAGGAAAGAAAGAGGAAAAAATGAAAGAAGAAAAATGACATAGAGAATTAAACAAAAATATTGCATAGAAATTAAAATGTCCCAAAATGATTCATCGAAAGAACGAATGAATGAAAACAAAACGAACAAACGAACGAATCAACCAGCCAACCAACCAACTAACCAATCAACCAACCAAACTACTACTACCAGACAACCCACCAGAGCCATTCCATTCCATTTCATTTCATTCCATCTATCCATCCATCCATCCATCCAACCAACCAACAACCATCATCCCATTCCATCTATTATCCCACTCAAACTAATCATTTCTGTCTTCTTTCATCTGTTCTACACTCAAATTGCACCCTTTCGTTACAATAAGTAAATGAATTTTCTCTTCCTTTCTTTTTTTTTAGAATTAAATGCATGTAATAAAATACAATATCGAAAATATTTTTAAAGTTATTTATGCAAATATTAATACATATAACATATAAAATAAATAGAGCTTTATCAATTACTAATTTTTCTATTAATAGAAAAATCAATTAGTAATTTTCCTGTCAATGGAAAAAATTCTCTCTCTTTCTATTCTTCTTCTCCTTCCTCTTTCCTCATCAACTTCCTAATTTGCTGATATTCCGGGAATTCTTTGTGCAAACTAACACATAGATTCATTGAAAACTTCCCAGCTCGTCAAAAACAATTTTTTTATATTTTTTATATACATACAATTTTGAAAAACCTTCTTTCCTGTCTGTCCCTGTCTAGGAGATGTCTTCAATTCTAAAGATTATTTTATTATTCACTTGTTTGAACAGTGTAACACACACATACATACATACACACACACACACACACACACACGCAACACAGCCATTCTTGCTCAAGCAATCAAAAGAAGCCGAATTTTTACAAATACTACAATGAAGCAATAAATTTAACAGGGCAGCACTCTGAAACAACAAGTAAATGATGTAACTTTAACCAAACAAAAAGTTCAAACAACTTCAAATATCTCACTTAATGTCTTACTTCCTTAATGATTATTCCAAAGCTATGCTTTGAATACCACAAGATATAACATTAAAAGTGAAATGACATTTCACTTTTAATGTTATATCACAAATTCGTGTATAATTTGAGCATATTTTTAAATATTTTAAGCTATCAATATGCAATCAAAATTTCTATAACATACTACAAGCTTTTCTGGTAGTAATAAATCAACAAATTATAGCTAGCAAATATTTTTATGGAATCAAATATCGCTGTCTAATTCATATAGCTTTCTTTTGAAAATCTCACTGAATAAAATGAAAATTATCATTGTTATGTTAATCTAAATAAGTGTTTTCAATGAAATTCTTAATCAATGCGCGAATCAAATGTAGCAATAATGGTAATAAATTATGCAAAAATAGTTGAATTATAATCTTACTTTCTCATCAAGATTATCAAGATAAACTGGCGAAAATTAGGTAAATGAAGAGGATGATAAGGCATTTTGTAGGAATTTTTTAATTAGCGGTAAAGTAAGGATCATAAGTTCAAGGTTCACGAAAACATTATATTTGAACGATAAATAAATGAAATATGGAAAGAAACGAATAGACAATCTGTATAGTACATCTCAAATATTATAATTTTACTACAAAAAATATTAAAAAATTCCTGTCAAGAAATTCTCATAATCTTTTGAGAAAAGTTACTAAATTTTACATGAAAAAAATAAAAAAATTTAAACTAGCATTGCTCTAAGATGTATAACATACATACATACATACACACACACACACACACACACATACACACACACACACACACACACACACACATATATATATATATACATATATAAGTTAATACACATTTGAAATCTTCAAACCAAGCTATATATATCATCAATCTAGGATAAATATCAATTCTCTAAAATTTTCGCATCATTATCTGATATTCTAATACAGTATTTTTGATCATTCCTATCCACAGATCTCTTCCCTCTCTCTTTCCATTCTATATACTATTTCTAAAATCAACACTCAATTATTTTATTAACAGTTTAAAGAATAAAAAAAAATATCAAAAATTTTTTATCATAAATCCATAGAATCCTGAAAATTTTATCAAAAGAAAAAAAAAAAAAAAAAAAAGAATGAACTTACCAAACATGGAAATGAGCAAAAAACGTCCAACAACCACAAACGTCCTTGACGATAACAAGTGCACAAAAAAATAACGAAAGAGATGTCCTGTAAACTAAAATCGAAAGAAAACCATAGCAGGAACAACGACAGTATCATCACCATCATCAGCAACAGACATTGCGCGAGCATAACAATACCAAAATACATGCACAATTAAGGGATGTGAGAAAAAAAAAGTATTGACAGCAATGAGATACGATTGTTCAATGACATCTATCGAACCAAAATCAGAATAATAATACCATCAGCAAATCTGCAATATCAATAACTAAAACACTAAATAATAGAATAAGTAATACAAAAACAAACATGAAATAATTTCACTTTAAATTTTATTAATTTGATTTAAGACTGAAACAGTTAAATATGAAGGCTCAGATAATGTATATATATCTGATGGGATGTATTAGAAAAAAGTTCTACCGTAGTCCAATTAACAAACTCATTCAACCATATGAACTAAAAAAAAAATTATGGAGGACGTATACAAATGTAAACGTCGATTGCCAACCTATATATCCGCTATTCTGCCTCAACACCTTCAGAAAGATACATTTATGTTTGTACAGCTAAATAAATTTTTTCAAACGAAAAAAATAACGTGAAAATTATACTGCTAAATCTAAATGATTTGCATCAAGTTAAGCAATTTTTAAGTATAAATATGGAGTTTTTATAAATTTTATGAATTCTTGAAAAACTTAATAATATCATAGCAAAAGAGTAGTAGGAAAAAAAAATATTCAGTTTACATATGTAGAAAATATTGGAAAAATTTTATATTAATCAAATTTATTTCAAAACTAAGATTAACGATTATTCTAGAAATCAAGTAGGTACATAACTCCCAAAAATCAACCCGTTCAAGATTAATAAATAACAAAAACTTGTATTTGTTCTCAAAAAAAAATTTTTTCTTTGGATATCTTCAAAAAATTTAACTTATGTAGCATTTTCTTTTTGTTCCACATAAAAATAGAAAAAAAAATTTGGTTAATTATTCATGACAACAACAACAAAAGAAAAAAAAAGATTTGAATCAGCTGTGGAACGTACTTCAAACTACTCAGCTACTTAACTAATAAATGCGAAATAAATTTGCAAGCTTTTTTGATAGCTTTTTGCTGCCAATAGTTGCTATCTTTCACAGTTTCGTTTATCGTTTCTTTATTTTTCAAATATTTTGAACATTCCTGCAGCACTTTTTCATCTGATACATATGGCGTCACATCCAAAACCTTAAATTGTAATCAGTAAAATGAATTCTGTCAACAATGCAATGCATAAAAATACCTCCAATGATTATCAGATAAATGGGTTGATCAAATTCCTTAACATGTTTAAATATCCAATTTAGCACTTAAAAGATATTCTCTAACTCATGATACTAACAGTTGTTGCTGGAAGATTCCAACAATGGTACTTTGCAATATTGATGGGAGAAAAAATATCGCAGCAAAAAATATCTTCAACAATGATGAGAAATGTACTGACACATATGAGTTTATACTCGAATATTTTTTGAAAAAAGAGCGCCATGTGTGCAGCATGAGAATACTAAATAAAAGCTAATGATTGATGGAAAAAGGACAAAAAAAAATATGGAAAAAAAAAAAAAAGAGAAACAACCACTAAATACTATGCGCTATGGATAGGCAATTAATAATGATAAGTGGAAAAAGAAAAAAAAAAAAAACTAGTGCAGACTTTAGTAGGTTTTAGTTTGCGTAATTTAGCTTTAAGAAGACTTCAAGAAAAAAAAAAAAATATTTGTTAGTCAAACTTTTGCAAAATGCAATAATTGCTAGAATAATTAGTGCAGTAGAACTCCGTCAAAATTACCAGATGAAAAAGATATTCATTAAGAATAAATTAAAATGACTGATGAACTAATGACTACTAAAAAAAGTTTACCATAGACTACTAAAAAAAGTTTTGTCAATCTATTATTTTAATGAAAGAAATTACCTAAATATCTCTGAATATTTTCAATGAAAATTTTATAAATATTCCTTTCTCGATCATCAGATAAGACAAGAGAAATGGTGAAGATGCTTTTATGGATAAAAAAAAAAAAGATTAAATACCAGTCGATAAAAGTCCGAACAAAACATGTTTACTGCACTATTCTGTAAAAAAATCCTAATTCTTTCATAGCACATTTAGAGAACGAAAAAAGCTAAAAATCAAATCAATTTGTTGTAGATATAAAAGCAATTGTTGGTAATAAATCCTAATAGAAATCGTACCTTTAACAGATCCTTTTCAGTAATAAACCTTTGTTAGTGATCATGTAACATCTGAGTAAATTAATTAGCTTCGAGAGACAATGATTTAATAACAAACCTGTAAAGCAAATGTCCTCCATGCAGCCAATTGTAAAGCACTCAATCCATGCTTCTCTGTGTTCTTCGACAGCTCCGTACTGTATCGCATATAATCAATAATTAATACAGTTAAGTAATCGAAAACTGAAAAATTTTCTTGTCCATTTTGGTGATATGCTCGCGGTGTTCCTGTGTTCAGTATCTAAAAAATAAATTAAAATAATGAGTTAAAAATTTCAACTCAAACTGAAATATTCCTTTCCTTCCATATTACGGCATCGGTTTTCTTAAAAGAAAATCACAAATCATTTCAAAATTTAAATCATCACTAATTCAATCTTACTTTACCGATCTATGCTGTGATGGCAAATATTCGATACGTGAAAAATTTTCGAAAATATCTTTGCTTGGAACACGAAAATATTTGTCTTGTATGACGGAACCAAGTGAAGCAGAAACACGAGCATAAGAATTTCTTTTGACGACTGAGATTCGTCGGTCAAGTACAACGCGCGTCAAACCAATCAAAATAATAATTACGATAACGGAATGAATTAGTGACAAAACCTAAAACTGCATTTGAAAAATTGATAGCTTAGATCTTTTACAAGATTCCAATAAGAGAATGAAAAAAGATAGAAATACCATAAAATAAAAAATATTGTAGTAAAGAAATACTCGAAGTAAACGTACAAAATATGTCATAACCGAGAATCTCTGAATATCTCGAAGTTGTGTACTGCGATTACCCACAAATATTGCCGAAATTGCGGTGAAGAAAATTGTTCGACACAACGAAAGATCGAATAAAAGAATCTGAAAATATTTGGTATTAACACAATAAGAAATGCAAATCAAAAGAGATATTCAAAAATAACATTACTTCCCAATATAAAACATTTAGTACTTATGATAACCCATTAAACTGTTTATTGATTTCAGAACACTATGCCAGCTGATAATAATATAATTGCAATGCAAAAATAGAGGTAAAGAAATGCCTCGCAATTGTAGTCGTTAATTATTTCATTAAACTGCTTAGTACTATCCATTTCAAAAGGGATGGTCATACAATGAACGCATCAAATCCAAGCAGCAAAAATTATGTGACATTTCACGACAACATATATAAAACAAATTCTAACCGCCATTAATGAAGAAATAACTGCCGGAAGTGCTATGTAAATTAAGCTACGTTGCTGCTTCCTACAATTTCCAACAACATAAACACCTGCAAACAAATTAATTTAAAACTTCAGTACTACTCCTACATCTTATCAATATCTACAACATTTTATAGATATATATTATTCATTCGAATGACAAAGTATAATCAGAAATCAATTTGAAGAATTAAAAATTAAAATTCATACATCAACTCAATTATATTTTTCACAGAAACGCTACCTCAATTATGGATTGAGAAGAATGAGATGGAAAAGCTTCAACAAAAATATTGTGATCTATGAAAATAAAACTAAAACCTTGACTAACACCAACAGCTATGAACAAAGCTAAAACAATACGATGTCCAGTGCCAACAATTAAAACAGTAACTAAACAGAACAAAAATCCAATCCAATAGCCAAATAGCAACTGTGCAATGAAACGAATAATTGAGGTGGATACTACCTTCACTTTCCGATCACTGATAACTCCGCTGGAGTATGTGAAAAATTATTTGATAAAAAACTGGATGATTCTGTCGTTATATCTTTTCAATTCATATTATAACTACAGAAAAGTAAGCAAAAAACAAAATCGGACATAGGATTAGTTGAATTAAATTAAAAGGCTTGTATTAGATATCAAATGTAATTAGTCAATAAAACGTATAGAACTATTATCTTGAACCATTGAACCAATTTCAATAAAACTATTAGAAGGGATAAAAATTTAATATAGAATGTATATAAAAATTACATTGTTTTTGAATGGATATAAATAATTTGGTTTCTAGTTTTCACATAACTAAAGTTAATGATCAAACTGTAAATAATTCGACAACTGAAGAGCTAAAATATACTAATAAAATATACATTTACAAAGGATAATTAGTATTAGAATTGTTTCTTAACTGAAACTTACATATTTATTTCTTTATTTCGTGCAACAACTCGGCTATTCAGAATTAATGCATCATAAAATACCGCAATCAAGGAGAGACCAAATGTTGCAAAATATACATAAGCTTCAAGCGGTTCACGCAAATATAAAAGATGAAAACCTAACGGTCCACCAAACATTAGCAACAGCCGAGTCCGAAGAATATCAAATTCACCATTACCATTACTAGCAATAAACTTAGTTTCCATTAACTTTTTGATTAATGATAATCTGAAAAAACAATTCTGTTTAGTGAAACATGAATATTTTTTTTTTTTTCAAAATAAAAAGTTCAAGTATTATTATTTAACATTAAGTATCATTTAACTTCCATTTAAAAAGCCACATGAATTATTAAAACTTGCTTTCTTTTTGAAATTCTATCGTAGGAATTTAAGCGAAAAAAGAGAAAGCACAATAGAAAACAAAATAAAGTTAAAATACTTGAAATAAAAAAAATACAACGTTGATTACAACAAAATCATGCAATTTCTTTTATCAGTGTATCGGAAAGAAAGTCTTTTATTCTTATTTCTTTTTTGTTCAGTAAAAAAAAAAGTGTTTATTGTTTGTTCAAATCTAACTCAGTTATAAAAACATACACAATAAATATGACAATAATTGCTGTGATGGTATAAGAGGGTAAATAATAACCAAAGAAAATTCTGTTATTAAAATATTACAAGCATTCTACAATAGTTCGCATAGTTGCATTAGTTAATCTAATTTTATTTACCAATTTTTTTTTTTTTTTCAATTTCAACTATACCTTAAACAGATGATCACTGATGTACAGCGAATGACTGAGAAAAAATTGTATTTTAAACGAAATAAAACTTTAAATTATTTCTCACCAAGTGGCAGTTAATAATAAATAAAAATCAGATATGTTTCGAGTAAAACAATAAGTTAGAGACTACCTAAAAGTAATATGAAACCTCCCAGATTTTTTCTATTATTTTAGAAGAATATTTCGAAAATTTAGACTACCTGATCAATGATCTATGCAGTGGTCAGATAGTTATAGTTAAGCATAATTAAGAAATCAAAAATGACGAAAAACAATTTTTCCCGTAACTCTTAATGAGAGTATAGAAGATGAGAAATTGTTTGGTATTATTCGATATGAAATTTTAAAACCTTCTATTATATAGTAAAAAGAATGAATAGACAAAATGAGAAAAAAACATAGGAGAGAAAAAATATAAGAAATTATTTCGTATAAGAAAAACAGCACATAAATTTCAATAAATATAACTTAAAAAATCATAATTATAAATGATACAAATGAATGAAAGAAACAAACCGATGAAAATATGGATATGAAAATTAATGTACGAAAAATCAATTTTGTGAATTATTTCGATGCACTAATACTAAATGTAAAGCAGCTCGCCACATATGACCAGATTAAAACCAAAAAATATACGTAATGTATACAGAAAATAATCATGCCAATGCTAAGTTACTAAAACATTAAAAAATTTCAAATGTTCATTTCCAACTTTTTTCCCAACATGTAGTTTTGATTTCATATAAATCATAATGAACATACTTTATTTGTACAATTCCTTTAGATCTCATTCAATGCGATAATAACTTTGTACTCTTGTTTCTAGCAATATTTGGCATAAAATAACAAGTCTGGTGATTGAGCATATTTTGGAAAAAAGTAGAAATTAGCCTTAAATTAGTTTTTCTGCACTAATCAATTTTAACAGCAGCATAAATTCGACACAAAAAGGAATAAGCCGCATAGAAACCAATCGTGCCTGTCAAAATCCAAAATGCTAATGCCATCAGAAAACTATAGCTGAAGTAGAGAAGTGTCGGAATGAAGCCAATAATATTAAGCTGCAAATTAAAAAATGAACGTAACATAAAAAAAAAAAAACTACTTTTTCCTTGGAAATATTTGGTATAAATGTAAGATCCTCAACCGATGCATATTTACTAAATGCTAACGTTCTGCACTCAAAAAAATCATCAAGAAGTGATTTTTTATGACACCGTATATTTCAATAAAACCGTATAAAGTGCGATTTCATTAATCATTCATTTACTAACCACTTCCTTACAAATTTTAAAAATTTTAATGTTAAATGCTTAAACTTTTTCTTTTTCTGGGTACATAATACAGTAAAAGCCCATTCAGAGCCTTAACCGACTTTCAATGTACAATTATCAGAATATATAGCACCGAATAAAAAATATTCAGGAAGAGATTGGTAAGGAAAAAAGCAAAAATTCAAACTTACCTTGCTAAAGTAATAGAAGGTTGCATATCCCATAACTGAAAAGAACATAAAATCTTCTAATGTTGAACAACATCCAAAAATAAAAAACTCATTTCATAAATCCTATTTTTCTTATGAGATATAAACAGTGTTCAATGAATTTTTCATTTTTTAAACCTTTCACAAACGATATGAATTACATCAACGTTATACACTGCTCTAAATTATGATTTTCTTAAATAATTAACATACCATAAACAGCAGATCCACCACTGATAACAAAAGATTTCCACCACCAATGATAATTCTGTAATATAGCATATGAATAAGTCCTATTAGATTGCTTAAAAATTTGAAAGCTAAATTAATAGTTCATTTTATTGCCATAGCTTCAAGTTCTCTTCCTTTTCTTTTAATGAAACCAGAAACAACCATAAAAAACATACAAATTACTTTTCATAATTTTTAAAATTTTAAACCTCAGCACATAGAAGGAAATATGTTACAACAATGGAGATTTGTGCACATGATATGAACAGAATAACACAGACAATAAAGAGGAATCCGAAAAGATAGTAGAATTGATTCTCCCAAATAGCCTGAAGAAAATATTATATCGAAGTGAAATAAAATTTCATTCAATAATGAAATCGTAAATTCGTAAAAACAAAAAATGATGAAAACACTGTAACTACAACTGTTTAGCAAAAAACTATCAGAAGTATTCAATTATTAAAAGCAGTATTTGTGATACTACCAACAAACTAACATCCTGAAAGGAACTCATAGTATTAGCTGTGTAAAATTTCGCTTTTCAACAAGTTTCTCGATTGTTAAAAAATTTGAAAAACGAACATGCTCAAAGACTCACAGAAAATATAAAGAACAATTCAATGAAAGCAGCTCCGAATGGAAGAATTCCAGCAAGAAGCATACACGGTAATGTTTGCAAATACCATGGTTGGTCAGGAACCTGACGTGGAATTTGGTTCGTACGAACTGGATGAGAATATGACTGCAAAAAAAGGAAAAAGTAAAATAAATGAGAAAAAATTTTTTAACTGAAATTTTCTTCGAATATATCAACATAAGGATCTTATTTTTCGATGCACAAAATCTTCATGCATCAGTATAGATAATAAGCAAAATATCTGACAAACTATATGAATCTTATTTCATAGCATACAAAAGCATACCTGCTTTCGGAAACCAAAATGAAATCCAAGAAATAGAAGCGGTAAATCAACTCCGAACCATAAAAGTAGAAGTGCAATCATTGTTGTAAATGGTATAGCTCCGGATGAATGTTTCCCAATTAGGAAAAAGTTTAGCAAAAAGCCAGTACCGAGAATAACTGAAGGGAAAAGCACAGCTGTTCGAAATGCACATTTTCGAGGACTTGTACCTGACATCAAATTGTTCAAACTAATAATAATGTAACAGAATAAATATGAAACGATTCAAAAAAATAAATAAAACATATTCTTAACTGCACAATTCATTGCTCAAATGAGACAGATAAAATAGATGTTAGCGAAATCTAATTCTAATTTAGATAAATATTCATGTTTCTAAGCTTACCATAATAATGGCTGCTAAGGATCTCTTTAACATTTTTTTTTTCTTTGCTTTCGTTTTTTTCCTACCTTTCCTTCTAACTATTTATTTGAAACTACTAAGTAAATGTTAAGGTTTTGCACCAAATAATAAATTTGAAGTCAAAATTCATAGACCTACAAAAATTTCAAGAATGATAAAATCAATCTTGTTTTACTCCTTCATATAAAAAATTTTTCTAAGTAAACAATAAAGAAATATTACAAGGAAATTTTAGCATCTTTTATTCTATGTGAAATTATCTCTTTTAGAATCAATAGAAAAACAGTATAAGTGAACACATACTCTCCTTTCTTTCTCTTCTTTTTTTTTTTTTTGAAGTCTTCACAGAATAGCAAAGAAAACCTTTCAATGTTCTATAAAGACGACCAGCATGATATCCAGCAACAAGACCCATCAAACAAAAGAGAACAATTGCTGCAGACATTAACGACCCTCGACTTGCTGGTGATAGCATTCCTAGCATAGCAAAGAAAACCGTAATGGCGACCATACCAACAAGCTGGATACCTGTACCCACAAAATTTACCAAAAGCATCGAACCAGGAGGAGGACGAAATACATCACCGTGAACCAATTTCCATCCAGATTCTTCCAATGTATCATCCTACAACGGCAAAAATTATCTAGCTGTTGTTAATTAGTTCTAAAAAATAAAAAAAAAAAAAAAAATAAATAATAGTAATTCAAACTAAATGATTACGAACCAAATCTTCGCCTTTATTATATTTTGCAATATCTCGCCGTACAGTTCGAACAATGATGACGCTCAGAAAGCCTGAAAAAGTAAAATATCCATTCTATGATCAAATGAAAATTACAAAAGTTCAATTAACACTATTCCTGATCATATTCAAACCAAAATTCTTATGAAGATGAACATAATGTCACAATTATAAACAGATGACTATATTCAACATATAAACAAATTATTCATACCAAATAAACATAAGATGACAACTATTGAGTTCACGATTGAGAACCAATGAATCTGAACATCTTTCATTGATAAATAAGCATCCCAACGACTAGCCCAAGGAACATCACTTTCTTCCCACGTCACTGAATAGGTCCAAATTATATTATTTATACCTTTTCCCACTTCCTGATTTTCCCCATCAGTTATTGTACATTCCTGAAAAAAAAAAAAAAAAAAAAACAGGATAAACTGGTGGTACGAAATTTTCATAGCAACCTGTCAAAGAGTTCAGTTAAACTTATTAAACATTTAATGACGTTTAAACAAAGAGATTAACTTTTTTTGAAAACTGGACAAATTCTGCAAAGCTTTTCAATTTGTCATATGGAATAATTATTGATCGATATAGTAACTCATATGAAATATATGAAAATGTTAGCATTTCAACAATTGCAGGAAAAGTCACCGGTGAATCAGAAGAAAATTTAAAGCGACTGCTATCAATACTCTGTGGCTGTACTTCAAAGCCAACAACACGATAAACATCCGGTCTCGGTTGGTGATAGCGTAGAATTATATCCAGATGATTATTTACATAGTAACGATTGTTATTTTCCCAACCAAGACGATAACCGTTCTCATAAATTACTTCATTTGAATTTTCAATTTGATATCTTGTAATACATGGAAGATTATCAACCAATCTGAAAGTAATAGCTGAGTCAAGTAGCAGGAACAAAAAATTTATAGTCTAAAGAAGAAATCAAGTGAAAAAGAAAGATCTTTTTTTTTTTTAAGATAAGTCTTGCAATGTCAATGTTTTTTATCAAAATCCAAATAGCCAAAAAAAGTCTAAAAAAAATTTCAGTAGATCTCATACTTGGCAATAAACCTATCAGCTTATAAAAACTAAAAACTGCATTCAATCGTCAAATGACCAAACTTTAAATTTTGTCATCAGTGTAATAATAATAGATATGCTTACAAATGCACATGATATTCCTCTTTGATTCTATTTGCCAAATTTTCCGATTCCTCTGGGTTAAGAGATACCGGAGAACGTGGTGAGCACGTTGTGTTGCATTTTATATCACGTTTCATGAATATCTGCAAATTCATAATATTAAAAGACATAATTAATCATTATGCTTCCTTAAATACCCGATTTTTTTCTAGATTCATTAGCTTCGTTTACTTCAAATTTCATTAACAAATTTTAAACTAACCGCAAAAGGTGTATTTACGATGCGATCACCTCGCATTACTTCACCCAGATTTTCGGAAATGTAATGTATTGCGCCCTGCGGGCGACAAAAAGGCAACGAATAATACTCATATGGTACTACAGTCTTCGTTGACGTTATTTTTATGCCCTGAAACTAACTTGATCAGTTCCTTAAGAGCTCTTAATTAAATTATTCTTTCTCATATTGATGAGCAATTCATTAATTCTCGAAAGAAATACAAAACATTTTATGCTAAAATGAGGTGAAACTAAGAGAAATAAAGTCAATCTTAATCTGTCATATAATTCTCCATATAATTCTAGAGATCCAATTCCTGTCTTCATGAATGTAGTTAACATTTTCAGCAAAAATCATTGCCTAACACTTCCCATTTACAACCATATTATAATTTCCATGTTCTTGAGTTATAAACCAATTTTGTGTTAAAAAAAAGAAAAAAAAAATTATTCTAAAGATATGTTCAATCCCAGTCATTCAAGCAACACATAGATTAATGCGTTAAGAACTAATCAATATTTGATAATATATTACTAATAAAAAAAAAAAAAAAAACTAACAAGATCGTTCCCCGAAATAAAAAAATAGATAACTTAAACAAAATCAAACCTTAACTTCAATCGGATCACCATCTCTGAATTCAACTGGTGCAACACCAGGAACATAAAATCCTTGTTCAATATGGAATAAACTACACAACTGCAGAATCACATACGTAATATAATTTCCCCTCCACATTGCTGTTTAATATTTGTGAAACCAACTGATCTAGCAGCTATTCCACTAGTTTTTACTTTACTCGGAAACGTAAAGACATTTACAGGATAAAAGCATCACCTGAAATTTCAACTAAAATCTTGAAAATAAACTGCAAAGCTTCATTCAACTCATAGTCCGACCGAAGGCATGGACAATGAGCACGTTCTTAACGTGATTATTACTACTTAAACACAAGTTCTGATAAGCGAACAATATTTGATTGTGACATTATTCTTATCACTAATATTTAATAAAATTACTCATAAAAAAAAGGAAAAAAAAATAAATTACTATTATAATCGGACATTAAAATTTTTTTGATCTTAAAATCTCATCGCAGTGGATAACGGCATTTGTTAAACTAATAAGTTATATGATAGCAATTATCTTTTTCCTAACAAAAAAGCACGCTTTGAAATAATTAATCTTTGAAATAAATAATCAGCAGACAACAAGCAGTTGATTTGTACTTATAACTTTAACAATAATTCAAATATTTAACCGCGCAAAGCAGTGGAAATAAGGTGGAAAGAAATGAAAATTCAAGTCACATTTAACAATTTATGTATTAATTATACGAAATTAGTAACATCACATGAAGCAATTTTATCAAACAATCTATGAAAAGTACTGAAAACGACGACACGCCAACTGCATCTTGCTTATACGACATGAACAATTAATCATATTACTGGTAACCGTTGTGCAATAAATTCTTTAGTATCAACAAGCTCCTGCAAAAAAGTTGCATCAAGATATTATAAAATTACATATAATTTTAAGTCGTATTTAATATATTAATCTATTAATTTATTAAAGTTAACTGTTAACAACGAGTTATAAGTTAAAGGAGAAAACAGCGACGAGTTATAAGATGAAGGAGATCAATTTTTCTATTCTTTCGATTTTTACCTGATTCACGTGGAAAAAAACTTCACCAAGAAACATTAAATCTCATTAAGTCTAAAATCAATACGGTGCAATCACGGTAAATTTTAAAAAATATACGTAAAACAGCAATTGGCGATCATAAATAAATATTAAATATCAATGTATTGATATAGAATAATGTGAAACAGATACCTCGGGACAACTGCTGTGTGCCATTCTTGGATATACCTTCATCCTTATGTTTGGATTAAAAGCTTTGATATATGCTTCTGTCATTTCGCCAAACGAAAGAGGTACTAAGAAATCTTGACCACCGTGGCCCATGAATATCTGTACATCTTTGTTAGCCGTATGATTCTGAAAAAAGGTGTACATCGCCTGAATTCACGATCCAAATTTTGATGAAAATTATGAAGACTGACAGGAATAAAACCGATTAAAAGCTTATAAGCATGCTGCAGTATGAAAAGCAATTGTCAATATTTCTAAGAAAATGGCAAGCTTTTAAAAAATGTTTAATTGCAATAGTGTACACAAATGCGTCAAATTACAAGGAAGGAGAAGTTTTCGACAATTCACTGTATACAGAAGTATGTGCTAACTTCTGTAGAAATTTTTATGCAAAAACTTACCTTTGATTAAATTGATATTAGCGCTAAAATGCTAAAATTCAACCTCTATTACCAAATCCCATTCGAAACTACAATTCCGGTCACTGAATTCATTATTTTTCTTTTTTCTTTATATCAACCACTGTTTCTCAACTTACACCAGGCAATTTTGTTCGTTGGACCAAAAATGAACTGAGACCAATTATTCCAGCAAGCGGTTTATCATAGATTAATCCAGCGTAGAGTGCTAATGCACCACCCATTGAAAAACCTCCTACCATTATACGTTCCGATGGAATGCCAGAATCAATTTCCTAAAAACTGGATGCATCACGAAGACAATATAATATTTTTGACAAATGTATGATTGGGTATATTGAAAGTAACCATATTCTTATTTAAAGATAACAGATGATAAACATGATTTAGTAAAACTTACGGCATCAATCATGGAATGTAAGATCATTGTTGATTCATTAATGCCTTCTTCATCTTCTTCCGCACTTGGTGTTAACCCATACAGATCATACCATGCCGGCATTTGCATGCCAAAATTTAATGTAACCGCTCTTGTTGGACTGTAAATATCATTCGTTACAAACTAAATATTTATAATATTGCTTGAAAAACGAGCAGTAAGTTGCTTTTTTTTTTTGCATTCACCGCAGCAAATAGGATACAGGAAAGGACAAACACAATGAAAATGTGGGGTGCGTAGAAAAGCTGAAGAAAAGATGACACGTATTTTTTTTCTTAAACTCATCAGATGATGAAGAATACCTGTAATATTACAATTGTAATATTATAATTCTACATGTTTTATAAATACATAATTAATGACTTCCTTATGCTTGATTTTTAGACCCAACGATCTTCACCCAAACCACTCAGCTCATTGGTCAAAAAATCTTGAGCTTCATCTCGGGTATGTCCTTTATTTATATGAGAGATTCCGAGTATATTATTCTTATGCTCTTTTATTTGCACTGCTTATCCATCAAAAAATTAAAACTTGCGCATGTGGGCAAATGTATTTGATATGATCATGCCGTATTTCATCCGCAAAAACCGAAGACCAGCCGTGGCCAGTGTCACCGAGACCATGAAGAAATATGATCTGAAGTTCAACGAAATCTTTTATTGTTACTCTTATGTAGAATCCACAAACTATGCATAATCAATCGGTAAAATTTCAAATTAGACTCATGCTCAATTTTCGCTGAAATTTCCGATCCAGTTTCAAATATTCTTTAAAATAAAGGTGTTAAAGATAACATAGATAACATGTTAAAGATAACATAACAGAAGATCAATTGTACTACTGTAGATTCCCCACCATTTACAATGAGAAGATACCTAGCCAGTTTTAATTTCATTATTCCGCTCTGGTCCTTTTATGGTCAATACCGAAGTATCGTTTATTCGTTCTCCTTTATTCTAATAATAATTTAAACTTTCATTCTTTTAAATGTAATGCGTACTAGAACCACTGGTATCTATATTTAAACCTGATGAATTAACTGAGTTAAACGCCATGTGAAATCATGAGACAGCTATGTCATTCGCTATGACAATTTTTTAACTTTTATAGTTATACTTTGCTGCATATCAAATAAACTTTTCAAGTATTCTGTATAATCATAAGAAACATCCATGTACACTTACAGTTGCCGTATGTTTACCACGTGCAGGAATAATGACTGGTTCAGCCATCTTTGTGCGCAGTTTGGCTTTCGAGTTACAGGAACCTGGGAGACAACAACTGAAAAGACCCAATAGAATGCGATTTGAAACGAATGATGAAGTGCGTTGTGCCCCTCCTTGCATAGAATACAAGTACCGTAAAGGTTTCAGCCGATATGCTTTGATACTGCTCCACGTCTTATTTAAGAGTGTTGCTGAAACTTAACGTAAGTGAATTTTCAATAAAAAACGGTCTACTACATGTCACATATTTTATTCCAACGATAGAAAAAAATAATTTCATTCATAGCTATACATATCAAATGAACAAGTTTCACTATAGCAATCGAACTTGAAAGAAAAATAATCACATATAAATCATTTTCTTAAACGAATAAGAAAGAAAATAAATGAAATCATGTATTGTTCATTATCATATAATATAAATTTTAACACTGTCAACAACCTATATTCTTACTCTAGAAAGATTATCAAATTTTGAAATCCAGTCGAAAAAAAAAATCTCTGGGTGGAAAATGTGAAATCACATCTTAGATTCTGAATAATTAAAGTATCAAATCCAATATAAAGAATTGACATATTAAGTTACCAAATAAAGAATTCACACACTTTAGATTCTAAAATATCAAAACACACGAAACATATGCATTACATATCAAGTCACATGCATCATATTCATACCAAATAAAATCATCATTCAAATCAAATCCCACATTCGTATTAAATCAAATTGCATGAAACATATCCCTATCAAGTCAAATCAAACCAAATCAGATCAATTCATAATTCAAGTCAAATCAAGTCACACGGATCGTATCCCTACCAAGTCAAGTCAGGTAAAATGAAGTCAGATCAATTCATAATTCAAGTCAAATCAAGTCATATGGATCGTATCCTTATCAAGTCAAGTCAGGTAAAATGAAATCAGATCAATTTATAATTCAAATCAAATGAAATCACATGAATCATACCTGCACCACAAAATTCCATCATTCCATCAATAATCACAACCATATACTAAACATTAGAACACAATATTTAATCACTACCACCCTCCCCCCCCACCCCCAATTTTCCGCATAAAGTCAGGCCGTTCCTTGCAGCGTTATTCCATCCTTAAACTTAACCAACTCTTCCCACTCTAATGTTTTAATATTCTGTTAATTATAATTTTTTTATAAAAACCTAAAACATAACGCATATTATGCTAAACAGAAAAGGAAAGGGGAAAAAAAACTCGAAATTGTAACAATATGAAATATGTATAATTGTTTATGAGTAGCATTTCTTATAATGATTTAGTAAAACTAGGAAATAGATTTAACTTGCCTAAATAATCATGTCATATTACATTAAATGAGCAACACATGGTACAAAACGAAACATAATTACATAACAGTGAGATATATTTGTCATATATATAAAATCATGTAACATTAAAAGAATAACACTTGTTGAGGTGACATGATTAGTTTATTAATAAATAAAGATTCTCAAACAAATTACCCAGGTCGCATAAATAAACGACTATCATGATGTTATAAGATTAAAAAACAGTTTAGATTTCCTTGTGTTATATTAGAGATGTAAAAATGTCATAAAAATTTCTTATAAAAATTCCAAAAGACTCACATTAAAGTTAATAAAGAAATCAGAAGTACTGGGAAACAATTTCAGAAATTTTAATGAAAGCACAAGTCCCATAGGCTATCAACTATTCAGTCATTATAGTTATGTGGAACGACAACATCATGGAATTCTACCATAAAGCCTATTTATGATCCTATCCATATGTCTAATGCATGTCAAATAAGCAACTAAGATATGTAGCACTAGATTATCAGTAGAAATATTGTTAATTAAGCTTATGACTAAGTTTCCAACATTATTTGTCATTAAGCGAGTAGTGATGGCTGATCAGTATGCTCAACAATCCGACAACATGCCATAAAGTTTGTAAGTGTGTGCATCGCTTCGCTGTATGCATCCTGAAAAAATAATTGTCTCAGTAAAGTAATGAATAATATTTAAAAAATCATTTCCAATAATAATTCCCTAAAAGAGATTTTGCTAATGTTTCATGGTTAGCAAAAATAAAGCTTTCCAACATACTTCAGCACCGCGATAATCAAGAATCGCTATAGCAGATACGATTGGCCATTTATCTACCGCTTTAGCTAAATCGTGCTTCGAGGATATCCAAAGAATATTAATATGATTGGATGCACAGATTTCCCTAATCGTATCGACTTTAGTAGCAAGTTTAGCTAGAACAAAATATTCAATTTGCTTTACATCAAACCCTACATTTGGGAATTACAGAAAATGGATTTCTCGACTGTTTTCAGCTAGTCTGTCAATATATACTGATAAAAGAATCCCGTGAAATTAATTAAGTACCAAAATATGAAATAGAAAAACAATTGCTCGGCAATTTTACTTCATCACATTGCTAAATTCTATCTATATATTTCAACTAAATTATATTTATACAAAAATATATTTCAACATCTATGATTTAACTAGGTCACTGAAACTTGAAAAAAGAAACTTTCAACATCAGTTCAAAATCTTAATTCACTCCTCTATCTGAACTATTAATGTGAAAATCCAAACACACTACTTTTCTCGATCTCAATATCGCGCGCCAATATAACACATTGTACTGTTTCAAGCAATAACTGCTTTCGTATTTCTCTTAAGCCATAAACTAATCGAGGTTTTGATTTTGCCTAGAAAAATTCAAGAAATTTACCAGTCGCTATAATTTCGTCATATTTTATTCTGCTTGCATTGTTTGTTCATATATCTTTTGATACAGCAATATACAGTTGATATTAAATTGCTAAAAACATTATTATTTCTAGCTCAGAGATTGCTGTTATTTTATGAAGAAATTACATTTTACTACGATGAAAGAAGCATTGGTTGTTTGAGTAATTAAATAATTAAAAGTGATTAAAAGAACTTGAGCAATTACAGTAATTAAAAGAACAAGGACTGAGTAATTGAAAATAATTAACAGAGCAATTTTTTATTGAGAGAACTACTTGAATAATTAAAAGAACAAAAACTGTGAAAAAAAAGTAATGAAAAAAAAAAAAAAAAAAAACACTGGAAAACGGAAGATGTGAGTAAACTGTATAAAATTCAAAATAATTAAACCTTAATTGGATTTTTTTTCCACGCAGAATCTTGAAATTTTTTGACTTTTTTCAAAAAACGTATTATCGCTGTGTCAGCATTGCTCTTGATTAAACTGGAAGGATCAAGTTTATCCGATTCAAACGACCTGTCATCCTTTTCCTGCTTTTCCTGCAAATTTATCTTATAAATAGTAACTAAAGTATCTATGCCAAAAACTAATCCAATTTATTTTTCAGCACATTTCTCTTCTAGAAGGAATTTTTTAAAAGAATTTTGTTTTTTTTTTTCCGATCCTTCATATTGATTAGTTTTCTTCCCCAAAAAATCTAATTCATAATTTATTTTCTAGAGTTTATAGAAAACTATCATAGGATAATGGAGTAATTACTGAGAATACATTGAATGCCATAGAAACTACGCTTAACTGATAAGCATGAACTAAATGGAACAATATGATAATGATTTTACTTCATGAAACACTTTCCGGAATTTGATGCATGACTTGTCCGGGATGCGGCTATATTAGTAGTGTGCAAGAAAATACGCAGGAGCATGTTCATAACTAATGATTACTCACATTGTCTCAAGTGACTCGAAAGTTCGTTAATTGACCAACAGTTCTAGACATTGAAGTCCCAAATATCTAATAGCATTAGTGCAGAAATTCTAAATTAATGAACAAAAATTCAGGATAAATTTCCAAAATGACAAAAAACCTTTTGATTTTTTGCATCTTTCTGTTCTGTCGCCAATAGTTTAGGTGAAATAAATTGACCAAATAAAGGCTTATGATCTAATCTATTACGAACGAAATTCTTTTTCCTACGAGATTCTTTTTCTTCTGACTCCATTCATTAGCCATTTATGACAAAAATTTGTCCTGAAATTAGGAATAATAGCACAGTAAAATGTTAAATATAATCGCAATAATATAGAGCTAATAAATTAATTAATTGACCAATAAAAAAATAAATAACTTAAAGCTAAAGAAAGCTGAACAATAAATTTAAAAAAAAAATAATCAAAACGAAATTCGTGAAAACTATTTCTACGTCACGTGCTCCAGTATTTCTTGTAACAAACTTGCCTATTCCAACTTCCATAAAAAAATCAAAACTTAATTAATTAAAATCAATTAAAATTTCGGAATCATTATTTCCGTCTAAAAGATACAGTAAAATAACGACAAAGTACATTCCCCCATGCCAATTATATACACCTTAACAAATATAAACTCCTAGACACGTTGCATTTCATATACTGTTTCATATCTACGTAGCATTTTAAAGTTATGCAAATATTACGAAAATTCTTGGACTCAATTCGTGGCTATGTATTTTGATTGCTAACAATTAGATATTAAAGAGCGAATGAGACTTTTATTCTTTTTTGTTTTTTAATTTTTGGAACCTAAGAATTATGATTTAACTTTATTTTTTTGACTTTTTTTGTTTGTAATATTTTTTGAAGAGTTTTTTTGCCTCAATTTTCCATTCATATATGATATTACTGAAAATCATTCTCAGAATTTTTAATTTGACGAATATTTTCAAAATTTCCATTTTTAAAAATGCATTTTATTATATACCTTCTCTGTGAATTTCAGTCTCATTGCTAAAAGAAACAAAAATCGAAATAATAAATAGAATAAATATACTGAGAATAATGATTAAATTTTCAAATTCTCATCTAGAAGTTTATTTGAAAAGATTTCCTTCACTTTGTTCACATCCTTAATTGTAAAATAATTAAAAATTAGGAAGTTGAAGTTAATTCAATAAGAAATTTTATAATTTGGTTTATGAAGCGATAATTTCCATTTTTCACCCTCTTTTTCAGCATATTTTTCTTCATCAATAATTGCATTCATTTTTACATGTTCATTTAATATAAACTAAAAAATTTAGCAGACTTTCAAAAATTTTAAATTCATGAAAATGACTAATTATCCATGCAAAAGTAATATATATATATATATATTTTTTTTTTCAATTTGTTTTTTAATTAAATTTATGTTTTTAATTTCTAACTGAAAAATATTTTTAGATGACATATATGCAGTAAATTTTAATAAAAATTTTAGTTTTTAGGAAATTTAATTTCTTTTTTTAAATAATTCAATATATAGAGATTTTAATAATTTAATAAAAATATTAATGATATCAGTTCTTTGTTTTAATTTCACTCAACTTTATCACTTTTTATTCATTTCTTATGAGTTTAGTTAGTGTCTTATCATTTCTTATTTTTTGTCTTATCAGTTTGTCAATGTAACGTTATACTATTAATATTGAAAAATTTTTCAAGAAATCTGCTTAAATGGATAAAAAGAAAGAAAGATTTGTTCAGATAGCTTTAATTAATGAAAAAAATATACTAGCAAGTGGTTTGATAAAAAATGTACAAGTGAGTAAATTAATAAGTAAATTAATGGCTAATTTGATGGATAGCACACATTTTTAATTGATACTAATATAATAAATTAGTAAAACTATTTTTTTTTACTAATTTAATATAATAAGCTAATAAAATAATTAAATTTCTTTTTACTCATATTAATAAGTAAGTTAAGTTAAGTAGGTTAATTGAATTATCTACTCTTAAATTCCTTTTACTAATATTAATAAGTAAGTTAATGGTTACTGAATGGATAAAACAAATCTTCTTGCTAATTTGAGTTAAATTCATTCAATAATACAAATTTATTTCGAGAAATTAATGATACATTTAAGCGTATATGATAAATGCTGAAATAAGAGTAGATAATTCAATTGAAATTTGAAAAATTATATTCAAACAAATATGAAAAGAATTTATTTAATTTTTGTTTTTTTTTTTTTTTTTTACTCCTATAACGGAAGTACTTTACATAAGGAATTAAAAGCATTTTATGATAAATTGAAGTAAAAAAATAAAATGGAAAAAACTGAATGATACTTTGAAGAATGTTAGGAGATTCATTTATTCAAATGAAGATTTTGATCAGTTCAAAAAATAAAAAATAAAATGAAAAGAAAATCAAAAAAAAAAAAACTTAACGGGATGAGTTTTATTTTTTTTCAACTTTAGTCATAATTTTATATTTTCACTATTTCGATTTAATTTATGTCTTTTTTTTTTTTTTTTTGTTAATAACTAATTTTTCTAGTTGTGATGATTATTTTGGTCAAAATTACATGAAAATTGATTATTCTGGTTGAAGTTTTTTTTTCCGGTTAGAGTTTTTCTTTCCGGTTTTACAAGCAATAGAGGTATATGATATTTATAAATCATCGTACATATATTTGATATAGATATAATCAATTATTAAAAGTTTAAGTATGACTTTTCTTTATTTTATATATATTAATTCTTTTTACTGTACAGAAACAATCAAATAAATGCTGATATGTTATTATTGTAGAATAATTAATTTTTAGAAAGAATTTTTTTTTAAATTTAATCTATTTATACTTTTTTAATGAATTTTATTGTCAATTAAACCTTTGCTTTTTTTTTTTTTCACTGCCTATTCAATCTCAAGCATTAGTATTTTGTATTAATTTTGAAAAATTGACCTTTCATTACAGCTTATCTTAACAGCAAAAATTTAAATTCTGATAGAAATTAAATTTTTTCATTTTTTGAAATTTGCAATTTAGAAATAGCAGAATAATTTTGTTTTATTTTTCATTTATTCTTTGCTGCAATCTCTTTTTCTTTCATTTTTGATTTGATTAATTTTCTTTTCCTTTAACTTAAATTTATCACTTTACTCATCTGATTTTTTGTAAAACCGAGATTTTTTAATGATAAGATTTTTTTTAAAACACTTATCATTTCAATCTTAAAATGCAATTTCGCAAGAGATAATGAAAAATTAAGAAAAATCAAATTGAAAAAAAAAGAACGAGCAGAAAAAGAAAAAAGTAAAAAGTAGAAGCTATTATTATCACTTGATGTTGTTATCATTTCATTATCATTATCGTTATCATCATCTCGCGTAAAATTTGATCGGTCAACTTGGTATCAATATTTTTTGAATCAATTTTAATTGCAAAACGACAATTGTTTTAACTAATCGTATGAATCTCATCAATAATTTCATTACCATTGCATTCATCTATTATCACTATTATTATTATTATTATTATTATTATCGCATGATTGATTCTTTAACATTATCACATCATCAATGATAATGATACAGTGATAATGTTGATAAGTGGTACAGCACATATTATCATTTTTCCATTATCATGCTATAAAAAACACACATATTTCTTCTTAATCCATAAATTAATAATTACACAAATGACAAATTGCAAAACACTATAACAAAATGAAAGACATTTCTGTTTTGATAACAAAATTTTGATCCCTGTTCACAACTTTCAAAAAATAATTAACTGTGTGATAATATTATTAACATTTAGCATTCAATATTAATATAGCAATTGTTTTTTTTTTGAATACATCAATTATTTGATATGAATGCTTACTTTAAAAAAGTAATTAAAATTATTTTTTGTTGCATAAAGTTTTTAAACAAATTATAAACAGGAATTTAGCTCTGTATATTTTTAATTTATAACACAATTTTTCTTTTTGTTAAAAAAAAAGTTCTATTTATTTTTGATTATTTATTATAGATATTAATAGCAAAATAATTATTAGATTGTATAATTTTGATGAAATTATCAAATTTTAGGTCATTCAAAATTACAACACTCTTACAGTACCATCAATCACTATTGGCTTCATAAATCGCATTATTTGCCTTTCATGTTTATTTGTTTCGCGATAATTACGATAACGAATATCTTTACGAAATGATTCACTGTCATATCGACGAGCATATGAAAGCTAAAATTAAATCAGTTAAAATTAAATTAATTAAGTTAATTAAAATCTCATTAATGCTAAAATTTATTTTTTACATTATAATTTTATTATTAAAAATAAATTAAATATTTAAACCAAAAAGGCAAAAACAAAAAAAAAAAAAAGATACAATTTTTTTAAAAAAAAAAAGATATTTTGTAGAAAAAAATTTTTGTGTAATAGTAATAATAATAATAAAACATACCCCATTTGCTCCAAATATTACATTGACAGATTTGATTTCACCTATCGATTTCTCTAAAATTAGAAATTTAATTTCCAGTTCATATTCACAACCAAGCATATTTTGCTTGAAATATATATATTCTTGAATCTAGCATAAAATATTTTGAAAACCTTTTACAAAAAAAAAAAAAGAAAAAAAGGAGACAAATGAAAATTTTTATAGTTTAAAAAAAAAATGTTTGTTTTTTTTTTTTTTTATTGATTTTTTTTTTTAAAATCATACTTGAAACACAATAGTTGCCATAATTTTTGAAACGTGCAGTGATATTTTTTAAGAAGGTAATTTCTAGGACATGATCGCCTGAAAGTCGAACATTTGTCGCATCACAATCTAACTCTTCACATTTTTTTGCTATTGACATAATTGTTCCATTTCGTAAATGACCCAATATTTGACCCTTACAACTCTGTAAAAAAAAAAAAAAAAAATTGAAAAAGTTGAAAAACTGACAAAATGAATTAAATTAAAATATTAATAAATTAAATTAATTTTGGTAATAATTTTAGTCAGTTGTAAATTATTTCATTTATAAAAATTTTTATTATACTCCTAATAAATAAGTAATTTAATTGCATATTGTAAGAAATTAAAAGTAAATGATTGTAAATTATCGAAAAATTATATGAAAGAATTTTCAAGAAAAGTAATAATAATTAGGAAATTAAATAAAATAGTAGTCAGATAGGTCATATAAAATTAAACTACCTAATGATAATAAATTGTTCAAAATTAAACTACCAGATTAAACTACCAGATAATAATATTAAACTACCAGATAATAATAGATTATATCTATTCAAATAATAATAGATTACATAAAATTAAAATATCTATTTAAGTAATAATAGATTATATAAAATTAAAATATCTATTTAAATAATAATAGATTATATAAAATTAAATTACCTGATGATGATAAGTTGTGTAAAAATTATTTTCATAATCACTCCATTTCTTTTCATTATTTAATCCTTTTGTTCTTTCAAATTTACGTTCAAATAATATGTCATTTCTTCTTGTCCAATCATTAGACGAAATTTCTTTAAATATCTAAAATTCACTGTCATAAATTTGACAATAGAAAAAAAAATAATTTTTTTTTTTTAACACAATTTTATTTGGGATAATACTTGATTGAATGAAATGAAATGAAATAAAATAAAAATAAATTGATATTTAATTTTAGAAATTTTCAAAATATATTGTAAATCAAATTTGTCAGAATTTATTTCTCATAAAATCATTACAACAATATTTTTTGTTAGCAATTTTTTTTTATCTATTTGAGTGAAAAAAGAAATTTTTTTTTTTACCGTTTTCATATTTCGATTTGTATATCTCTTAATTCCATTTGATTTATTTTCATCTCCATTTTGTGACATATTTTCATCAGTTTTTGAACTAAAAATTCTTTCTTACTTTTTTTAAGGAAAGAAAAGATAAAAAAAAAAAAATGATTTGTAAGGAATGAATTGTTAACTTTCTTTTCTTTTTCTTTTTTAAAAGCAGAATTTATTACTTAATTTGCTTGCTGAAAATTTTGCTTAATTACTTTAATTACTTATAATAGATATGAAATAATAAAATGTAAGCAAATGTTTTAATTTAAAAATTTGAATTTATACTAACTTTTAGATTGATAATTCTACACGCTTATCTAATTAATCCTATTTTAATTTAAACAAATGGTATATATTTATATACATATGAATATAATCAAAAAATGAAGATGAAATAATCTATTTAATAAACAAATAAATTTGAGGAAATTTTGTAATTTTTCAAATGACAAATTTTCAATTAAATCGAAAATTAATTCAGTTATGCTATGATGAACAAATTATATGCTATTAATTTGAAACCTTATTTATTCAAAAAAAGACAAAAGCTAAAATAAAAGGTAAAAACTTTCTTTAAAAAATTTATAGCAAAAAAAAAGGAACAAAAAATAAAATAATTGAAAAAAAAAAAAAAAAAAGGAAACAAACTTTTGTTGTTTTTGCAATAATTTATTGCTATCATATCGATGTTGATCATTGATAAGTGATGTTGCATTAAATAATTTAAAATATTTCATCGACTCTTTACGTGGAATTATCCAAATACCATTTCTTACATTTGATATATTTCCTTTTTCCATATTTAAATTCACTTCTCGATTATAATTTTTATTATTTAATCCAAATATTGGTAATGTTGCATTATTTTTTTTAACACTTTTTAATTCATCATTTTTATTAAATTTTGATGAATTAGCAGTTGTAAATAATGCGATACATTCAATTGCGCTTTGCGCTTCATTAATAATAGTTGTTTTATTATCGTGATTTTTTAATTTATTAATAATTTTTGAACATGGTAATAATCGATTTTGTTGATGACGTTTTCTTGAAATACCCAATGGACGTATTATTATACCAATATTTTGTTTAATTGAAGTATCACGTTGCAATTTATTTATATTTTCTCTCTCATTTATTCCAATATTATTATTTGTTGTATTATTTATAGCAGTCATTTGCGCTTGTTGAGAATTTAAATTGGCAGCCATAATTGAATGTTGTTGATTTGATGATATGATGCCGACATTTTGCGCAGCTAATGTTGCATCAGTTATATCATCCGTATATTGTAACAATGGTTGCTCTGTTGTTTGTTGATTAAAATCATTGATAAGTTCGCTAAAATAAAAAAAAAAAGAAAGAAATAAAATAAAACAAAATAAGTATTAATTCAATTCAGAAAAAAAAAAATTACAATTTATTTCAAACTAAATGATAAATTCCGTTTTTTTTTAATTATATTTAATAGTTTGACTTAATTTTTCTATTTAATCTTTACATAAATTGCTGTTTAATTAAATTATTAGAACTATAATCAGAAAAATGATGATTTACAATAATAATTTTTACAACTATTAAACATCTTTTTTTATTATATTATCATTATTGGATTTAAAATTAAACAAAATTCAAATTTCATCAAATATTTGAACTAAATGATCACATTTAATAGAATTGAAAATTTTAAGCATTGTAAATTTTATTTGATAAATTTTGCCATTAAAATTTTTAAAAATTTAGGAACAAAAATAATTTCGAAAATTTTTAAATGTAGTAAATATCGCTTTATAAAACTACGAATATCATTTTTAGTATTTTAAAAATAAAAATAATTTCGGAAAATGTCGTTCTTTTCTTTCTTTTTTTTTTTTTGAAACGAGAAGTAAAAAAAAAAGGATGGAAAGATGAATAAAGATAATTAACCTTCTTATAATAGATGGTGACACTTCTATTTGTCGTAAATTGTCACCATATATATTTGACTTTTGTGATTCATAAATTGTAGGTACTTCTGCTATTGCATTTGGTGACATTTCTTGTGACTGAATTTCAGGAATATGATAAGGTGAAGTGTAAAATTTAGATTTGCCGATGATAGTACCAATAGATGGTTGATTATTATATGTTGGTATCACTGGTTGCTGAGATAATGATGGTATCATAGGTTGCTGAGGTAATGATTGTGGTGCATTATAGGTATAGCGAGGTTGATTATAACTTTGAGGATGAACGTTTGAAAATGAAGCAGTATTAATTGAATATGTAGGATATGGTGCAGAATAGGATGGTGGAGGTGGAATAAGTAAACCTGAAATTGTTTAAATTAAATTACACATACATATATTAGATTAAATTTCATATTCAATTAATTCAATTAGCAAATTAATTTCTGTAACAAATTATTTTACAATTTAATAAATTTAATAAATGATTACGATTATAATATATTTTAGTCATTCTAAAGAATATTTAGGTTTTTGTTAGAGAATATTCTAAGATTTTTCCTTTTCATAGACATAAATAAATTAAATTTCAATTATTTTACAATTAAGTAATTATAATATATTTTAATTATTCGAAAGAATATTTAGTTTTTTGTTGAAAGAATATTCTAAACTTTTTTTTTCCTTTTTGTTTCTCAATGATAATGAAATGATTTAATTGTAATATAATATAAATGTTATTAATTTATTATATTAATATTAGTAAAAAAAAAAAAAAAAACATGTAACTTACTTGGTAATTGTTGTGACACGTATGGCGTAGCGTAACTTTTTTGCTGTAATGGTATACGTTGTACGCATGGACAGGTATTAACAGGTATTCTTGTTTGACATGAACAAAAACCATCTGAATTTATTAATAAAATAATTTTTTCGTTTTTTATTTGTATTATTATAATAAATTAATGAAATAATTAAATCTTTTTTACTAATATTAATACAATAAATTAATAAAATAGTTAAAAATTTTTCAGTAATATTAATATAATAATTCATTAAAATAATTAATTTTTTACTAATATCATTAAAATAATTAATTTTTTTGCTAATTAATATAATAAATTAGGAAAATAATTAATTTTTTTTCTTTGTTAGTATTAATATAAAAACAAAATAACTAAAATTTTTTCCCAATTATCATTCGATTAATCATTTTCATAGTTATTTTTTCTTATATAATTAAACTAACAGTTTACATTTATTACATATAATATATGCATGCACATATATATTAATTAAATTTTAATTTTATTCAGTTTTAATTGCATTTTTTGATTTAGATCAATTTTTAGTACTAAAAATATATTTTAAAATATTTTTATAAAATCAAAAAAAAAAAAAAAAAAAGAATTCTTACTGCTGAAACAAGCAAACGTATTTGTAATATGACTTATTGCAATAACAATAATTATTATTATCAATTGTTGCAGCATTGACCAATACATTTTCAATCTTTAAAAAATAAATAAATAAATGATTATATTGTGCAAAAATAATTTAAAAAAAAAAAAAGAAGATAACAAATTAATTATGAATTAGTAAACTCAAAATCCATTATTCAATCATATTTTTATTATCGAACAATTTCAAATATATTTCTGGTACTCAGTAATAAAAATATACCTAAAATATTTGATTGTTAAGTGTTAGAAAATAATAGAAATAAAAAAATTAAAATTGTGATACATTTGCGCTCAATGCTACATTGACTTCATGATAATAGCACATTATATGATTCAGTTTGAATTACTATAATAATCAGTCATGATATATTTATATTAAATAATTTAAAATCAATTTATTCTTTATGTCAAAATATCCAGTTGCTTTGTATAATAAATGCTATAAATATCAAAAAGAATTTATAGTACATTTGCGCTTAATGCGCAGTTGACCTCATACTACAGCATTAAATGTTTAGGTTATTACAATTCGCATACATTCATATCAAATGTTTTATGTTATTCAGGAAAAATCAATTTATATTTAACGGCACTTATTCCAAAATGTCCAGTAGTTGAATATAATGAACTATTTAGATATGAAGAAAAAAAATTCATAGTACATTTGCGCTTAATACATAATTGAACATTTGCATTCATAAACTTTCCAAATTTATGTTAAACTTTTACAAATTAGCAAAGAAAATAATCAATATTGATGAAGAAGAAGAAAATGTAACTTTAAATTAGACAAGTTAAAAATTTATTTTTATTAAAATTATAAAATTTCAAATGTCTTCTTTAAAGCAAAGAAAAAAACATGAAATTATTCAAATTTGCTTTTTTTTAAAAAAAAAATTTGTGAGTTTAAATGATTAAATTTCGTAGTTGAATGGTTAAGTAGTGCAAAATTATTAATAAAAAAAATAAAAAATAAAAAAGAACTTCATAAAAATTTAAAGAAAAAAAAAAAGAAAAGAAAAGAAAAGAGTGATTTTTAGGAATACATTATAAATCATTGATTATGCACTGAATGAGAAGAAAATTGTTTGAAAATGTCCATATATATGACTAAATGTTTGATGTTCCGCAAATTTTTTATTTTATAAATTTTTTAAAATTAATTTGAATTGGTAAAAATTTAATAATTATTTAAAATATGCACATATCTAATTAAACTAGAAACTATTCTTGCGTAACTAATCTATTTAATCTTCTAAAATGCCTACATTTATTTTTTTTTTTTTCGCGTCTTTTCTTTTTTTGCTTTTTTCATAAATATTTTTACTAAATTATAAATGAATTAATTAATTAATTAATTTTTGATTAATTAATTGGGAGATGAAAATGCTACCAATAAAAATATTCACGGATCGATAGGTTTTAATTCCTAATATTTTACGAAACAAATATGTAAAATAATTTTTTAAATAAAAATTAAAAAAAACATACAAATAATAAAAAGAAAAAAAAAATGAAAAAATGTAAACGATAATTGTTGCAACATTTGGTTGGCAATTATTGTCATAGTAAGAGATTTGTAATTTGAAATTCTCTTATCCTTTTTTAAATATTCCCTTTTTTTTTTTATTTTTTTTCCTTACCAAAATGTTTTTTTTTTTTTTTTTTTTTTGACAAATTGAAATTCTGATAGTCAATTTTTGTTTGATCAGCAATTGATGATTGTTTGTTTGAAATCATTTATAAATGTAAACGATAATAAGAAGCAAAACATAAAAAGAAATATAGAAGAGAGGGAGAGAGGGCGAAAGAAAGAGGAAGAGAATGAAGAGAGGGAAAAAAGTTAGAAAAGTGGAGAAGTGGGAGAAAGAAGAGAGACAAATTTAAAAATGTAATAATCATTCAGCGATTGTTTGCACTATAAGTCTAAAATATTTGCACAATCTTTTATCACCTTGATATCAAAAACATTGATCCTTCCATCTAATGATAACAAATGAAAAGAGAGAGAGAGAGAGAGAGAGAGAAAGGGGGACAATAATAGAAATAATTATGATTAAAAAATTTATTTTGATAATTATAGTAGTAATGATAATAACCATAATAATGACAATAATAATAATAAATAATGGAAACAATGCCAATAATGGCAGTAATAATAATAGCAGTTACAACAATAAGTTAGTAATAATAATAGTAATAGTAATAAATGATGATCAATTATAATTAATGTCATACAGAAATAATAAGTGAAGAAGGGAATATGGCAGTAATTATTGAACTTTTTGTTACAACTGCAATCTATCATTGGATATTTTAAAAGTTTTATTAAAAGTATTTGTTAGAATATGAATTATTATCAAATTACGCATATATTATTATAATAAGACGAATAATGAGATACTAATTCGAAAATTCAAAAAAAAAAAAGAAACGGGACATTGATTGTTTGCCATGTCTAAAGGTAATTCTAATCAGCCATAATAATGATAAAATCACTTCAGCATTCTTTTTAAATCTTTACATTATCTGTTTGTTTCATCTTTACAAATGTAACACTTGCTTACCAGTTTTCATAGCATTTTTAGTGATGATGATAATGATGATAATGATGGTGATAATAATGATTATATAAAGTACATTACACGTCAAAATAAATGATACTAATATACATATGTGTGGATAGATGTAAAGTAAATAATTCGGTTCAGATTTTGACAATATTCGGACTTTGCTAATTAATCAGACCGAACAGCACTTATCACCCACAAACATATACAATCGAAAATTAAAGAAGGAAAAATAATATTTCCCTTAAAAACTTGAAACAGTTCAACTCGTTTGCTTTAGGCATATATGAAATCTTGTCTGAGCAATATAATGGTCTTAATTTTTAATTCACTGTCTTCCATGTTTAACAAATCGCTTACCGTATTGCACTGTATAAAAAATAGTATCACTTTGAAAATTTTGTAATATATTTGCAAAGAAAAAAAACAAAAAAAAAGATAATTAATTTTTTAAATTTTTTTACTTAAAAAACAAGACATAATGTAAGATATGATTCTATCACTGCTGTTGGTTATCATAATATTATTATCAGTGGATTTAAACTTTAGAATAATAATCCTTGAAGTCGATGGAAATGAAAAAAAAAAAAAAATATCAGGCAAGTAACAATAAATACTTTCAATAATTTAATGCATATTCTTTTATACTGTATTAATCATTGCTTGTGCATACTGTAGCAATACAGTACACTACAACCAGATACTGTACGATCGACTGTGCAATACAGTATCACGTCATTTCTTTTTGTACTGCTTTTTATGCCAATGTCATAAAAATATTGCATGTCTATTTTATTTTTTCTCCATTAATCAAAATGTTTCTCGTCAAAAAAAAAGTATCACTAAATTTTTCCCATACAAAGGTGTAAACAAAATCAAAAAAGAAAACAAACAGGAAAAAAGAAAAACTTTACAAAATAATTAAATTTTGAAAGTGTCAAAAGACTGAAATAATAGTGCGGCACCTTTTATTACAAACATAAAAAATGATAGAAAAGAGAAATGTAGATGTAATTTAAAATGCTGAATTGTAATAATGACAAGAAGGATCGTTCGCATATGAATGATAGTTGATGATGTTAGTTCATCCGGTTTTAAATTCATTAATAGATATCAAGTCATCCTATCGGAAATGAAGAAACGAAATATATTATTTCCGTTATGAAGTAGCTCAAATTGAATGTTTCTTTAGACACTACTGAAACCTGAAATGCTATTTAATTTTGACATACTATACGACTGAAAAAAACGTAGAATTAGAAATTTCAGAAAGTATAATCGAATTATCTCAAATGAATATTTGTAGTATCTGTATGGGATATAATAATGCGATGATCAAAAAATGATAACTACTTCATTCAAATAATTACTTAATCGGCAAACAATAGAGTCAACCATAATTCAATTTATTCACCATGATTTTTTCATTTTTTTATCCAATTCAATCTTTTTTTTTTTTTTTTTTTTTTACAAGATTTAAAAAAAAAATGTCTTTGATCTGTACAGATTAATTTAAATTAAGCGAAGATGATAGAAGTAAAGAACAATTGTGAATAATAATGCATGAATAATTCAATTTAATCATAACACATTTTTTATATTTTGCCCAAAATCAATTTTTTGTTTTTTAAACCTTGAAAAAATAGCAAAACAAAAAAGAAATTTTTTAATCTTTTTATTATGCTTTACTTAAATTAATTCATTTGTTTCATATATGAAATAGTTTTCTTCAAAAATTTGAGAATAAACAATTTAAAAAAAAAAAAAAAAAAAAGAAAGAAATTTATATATCACACAAAATAATTAGTTAATATTTGAAAAGAAGAAGTTTTATTTTTCATAAATATTAATAACATAATTAAAAAATTGAAGTAATCAATTCTGAAATAATATGAATTTTCGATTTCATAAATGGAATTTAGTATCCAATTCATTTACTCTCTGCAATAGTTTGATTCATTTAATGATAAAATGGATAACAGATGGAAAGTACTAACTGCATTACAGCACATTAAAAGTAACATTTAAATGTTTCGACAATCTTTAAAAACAGGAATCTTATCAATGAAATTTAATTGTTTCAAACAAACTTTCACTGAATGGAATTCATCATTATGCTTTTAAAATTTTAAACAATTTCAATTTTAATAGATAATCATGATTGCAATCATAATACAGAGCTAATAGATGCATACATACATTCATTTTTAAGCTTTTAAAGCTAAATGTGATTTAATTTAGATCTGTCTTTAGACTTATCCAATTAGATACGATTCTACACTCATTTTATGCTCTTATAACCTATCATGATATAGTCTATATCTATCTTTAGATTAGCATAGTCTATCATGATATAGTCTATATCTATCTTTAGATTAGCATAGTCTATCATGATATAGTCTATATCTATCTTTAGATTAGCATAGTATATCATGATATAGTCTATATTTATCTTTAGATTAGCATAGTCTATCATGATATAGTCTATATCTATCTTTAGATTAGCATAGTCCATCATGATATAGTCTATATTTATCTTTAGATTAGCATAGTCTATCATGATATAGTCTATATCTATCTTTAGATTAGCATAGTCTATCATGATATAGTTTATATTTATCTTTAGATTAACATAGTTAAGTATAATATAGCATAAAATCATTGCTATTATAGTAATATGTAAGCAAAAAATTTTAGGTATCATAAATTAAAACAAATTGTACATTTAAAATTTTAAAAAATAAAAATAAGATATAATTAATTTTTTGTGATGTAATTTTAGTAAAAGTCATTTAAAAAAAAAGAAAAAACGAAAACAAAATTAGCTGATATAATGTATAAGTCAAATAATACAAATGTGAAAAAATGTTACACAACAATGAGAGATAATTTTAAGAAAATGTATAATTATGCAAAGTATTATTTTTTAAAGATTTAAATGTTGAAAATATGTAAAGAAAATAAATGAAAATTGACAATTATACAATCACTATTTAAAAAAAAAAAATTTTTTTTTTCCAGAAAAACACAAAAAAAATTTTTTTTTCCTTCGCTTTTCCCTCACTTTTGATCATTTCTTAATTCATTAATAATTGGCATAATTTGTAAATTCTTCTTTAATTTAATGAAGTTTGTATAATTCAGGCCAAAGAAAAAAAATTGAATTTTATTATCATCATTTCGTAATTTGAGTTTGTTTTCCGGTTTTTTTATCTTTTTTATTCTTCAAAATAAAATTAAATTCTCTTTCCATCTCATTTCAATCCATTTATCTTACAAATGGAAAAAAAGGCGAAGGAGAAAAAAAGCAATGCATAGAATTTATCATTCTGTCTCAGTAAAAAAAAAAAAAAAACCGGTAAAAAAAAACGGACAAACAACATTTCCTCGTTTTTTTTTTTTTTTTCTTGAAAAGTGAAACATTATTTTTTACAATATTCTGCAAAATTTTCAATTGTATTTAGCAAAATTTTATTTTAACTATTTTGCATTTTCTCTTTCACTATTTATTTATTTGTGCAATTATAATAATCATAATAATGATAATATGATTATTACTTTAATAATGATAGTAACAATAATAAGGAATAATAAAAATAAATGTACATTTATGATGAAAAATATAATTGTAATTATTATTAATTCTTTATTTTGCTTCAATATTAATATTTGTGAAATTTTCAGTTGGAAAATAGATTTAAAAAAAAATATGACAGTGATAAAAATGATAAAGTCAAATGAACTTAAAAAAATTTAAAAACGATTGGTTGGCTTTTTCTGATGTAAAATAAATCGAATAATTTCAATAACAATAATTTACGCTTTTAATACAGGAATTTTGAATTAAATTTTAAGATAAAGTGAATTAAAATTTTAATTTGCTACTGTAAAACGAATAAAGCAAACATAACAAACATTTGTTGCTAAATTATTTGAAAATTTTAATTCATTGTCTTCTTAAAATGTGTGAAATAATTTTATGAAAGAATAAAATTAATTCTGAAATTATTGATTACATCTTTGTAAAATATCACATTTTAATATAATTACATTTTAATAAAAATATTCATTTTTAAATGGAATAGTTTTTTATTTGCAATAATTAGAGGAAAAAAGAAAAATTATAAAATTTAATCTATTAATTTTATCATTTTTTTGAAATAATCTTACCATATGAATTAACCATGAGAAATACTAATGGTATTCAAAGAAAAATTTTGCCCAAAATAAATTCAATTATCAATTATCGAATTTCACTTCTTTAATTATCATTTTTACGCTTCATTAATTGCTAATTTAATTCTCATAAAATCATTCATATGAAAATTTTGATTACACTCTTAATTATATATTATTGTTATTATTATTATCAGACATTATTGTTTTAACATTGAAGGAAAAAGTGAAATTATCGCAGAAATGAAAGTAATAAATGATAGATTTGTAATTGTTGGAATTTAATAGTTATTGCTTTTTCCTACGAATTTCGAAGATTTTTTTTTTTTTTTTCATTGATCTTTTTTCATTCACTTACTTATTTTTTCCTGCTTTTAAAATAAAAGATAAAATAATTGAAGAAAGAATACAATTATTTGTTATTTTATTCATTTTCAATTCTGAAATCTAATAAAACTAAAGTTTGAACATTAAATATTATATTTTAATTTGTTTATATTTTAACTTACTTTTGACAATTTAGTAACATATAGCCAACAATTTTTTTTTTATTCTTTCTCTTTTTTTTTTTAAAACTCATATATGCATAATTTTGAATTAAGACAGAAGTTTGAAACTGATTTTTATGTACTAAATTTAGATTATATAATAAACCTAACTGAATTATAATTAAAATTGAATTTCCTTGATTAGAATGGAATTCAGGAACTGATATTCATATATACTGCCAATTCATTCCCATATTTCTAACTTTTATATGTTTTCTTATCAACAAATATGTTTCAAATTTATCATATTATCTCCAAAAAAAAAAAACAGAAAAACAGAAACACTGTCCTTCCAGAAAAAAATGGTGGAAAAACAATTAAGTTACTTTTCAAAAGTAATGTTAGCTTGAAAAACCCATCCGTCAGCTCTCAAATAATTTAGCACTTGATTTATATAAATTAATGTTACATAATTTGTATTTGATTAAAAAAAAAAAAAAAAACTTCTACACATTAATTCATGATCTATAATAAAATATATTCCAGTGACTTTCTCTTTTTGAAAAAAAAAAAAAAAAAACTTATTAAATTGCAATTAAGAATCATCTCTTATTAATTCAAACTGTAAATATAATAATTCATATGAAGATTTTCTCTTATAATTCTTAAAGTTTATCTACTGATTACATATAATATGAATTGAGTTTATATCGTTGATATTTTGCAATAATTTTACTCATATATAATAGTATTTCCATTTGCATTTGTAACAAATTCGTTTATAATGTTTATTCACAACAAATAATATTATTAATTCCTTCAGATCTTCGCATTTAATTAATTTTCTTGATTAATTAGTTTTTTTGTTTTTGTTTTTTTTTTTAAATCATTTCTATAGTGTTTAAATTAGGAGTTATTTCAACAAAGAAAATCGGATATTTTTTGCATTGCACTTCATTTTTATGCAAAAAAAAATGCAAGTTTTTTGTGTTAAGATTTTTGAAGAACAAAAATAACTGAAAATTATTTTATATATCCCAACAAAGAGCTTATTTAATAGCAAACAAAACGACATTAAAATAATTACCATTTTGACATAAATTATAAAAAATCTATCAACATACATATTTTCATTATTTCTTTCTGGATTTACTTTTTCCCTGAAAAAAAAAAAATGTGAAAACACTAAAAAGACAGTAACTTAATTAAGCTCATAAGGTGAAATATGCACAGAAATATAGTAAAATTAGCAATAAATTAGTGAAAATTGTAATTATGAAGTAACTTTGCATGCTTTTATCTACTAAAGATCAAAAATTTCGTTCTAGTTACAATCCTAAAATTTGAGATGATTGCTACAAAAAAAGAAAAGTAAAATGCTTTTGCCTCTTTCTAAAAGATATATAAAACTTTAAGCAATTAGTCATGTCATACCTTTTTCCCTTTTGCACCAGAATGATGCAATTTTTTGCTAAATTTCTTATTCTTTCCTATTTTCTTGCGTTTTCTACCAGTACTACCACCTGCCATATTGTTACCACTTTTTTCCACATCTTTCACTGCCATATAACTTCCAAAATGGAGTAACTCATCCAGAATATTCTGTCGATCCTTTATCCTTTTATTATGTTTCTCCTTCTTTGTCATTTGCAAACGAATAAGATAATCCTCTTCATACCTGAAATAAATGTAACAAACAGATTTCCATAATTATGAATAAATTCATTTTTAGCATTTTTAAAACTTGATTAAACTTTTGAAAATAAAAAAAAAAAATCGAAGTTTCATAATTCACAAATAAACGTAAAAATATTAAGGAAATATACGTACTTTCGTTTCTCAATATCTTCCTGTTTTTTCCTCTTTACAATGCTATCATCCTAAAAACATTAAGAGATTTACAGGTTTCTCAAATAATTTTAATTTAATATGTACTCATTTTATTTCTCAATGGCATCTTCTTTGATCCCATCCTCATCTTTCTAATGTTTTGAGTAACGGAAAGTAAAACAAAAAAATTTCATTACTTCCGGACGTGCACCATAAATTGCTGAAATATCATTATTTCAAACCATTTCATTCTTCATTAAACGATATCTTTTTAATATTATAAAAGAGCTGACGAAAAGATACATTAGATTAAATTTAAATCGTTCAATTTAGCTTGAATTTATATTCAAGTTGAACTGGAAATTTTAGATTAAAAGTTAGAAGATGTTATTACTTGGAATTCTTCTGGTGCTTCACTATACTGCGCTCGCAAATCCTGTATCAAACTACTCTGCAATGCTCGCCGCCTTGCTCGTTTTATTTTTCGCTCTTCCATTTCTTCCTCATCTTCTATAAATTGACTTCTTTTTTTCCAATTTAATTATTAATATGAAAACATTTCTGTAGTATCAGTAAACCGAAGTAATAACTAAAACTGCATTTTTTTTTTTTTTTTTAACTTTTAAATTTATGAAGAAGTCCAAGATATAAGATACATCAAATTTTGAAAAGAGTAATAAGTAAAAATGAACAAATGATTTTCGTTTTTGAAGAAAAAATGATAAACATTGTTACCATTATAATGTACTGCCATAAGTTTCGGTGGAACATATTTTTTAGATTTCGTTTCCTTTACAACATCTTCATTGTTATCATCTTCTGATCCCAATTCATCATTTTCATCGCCCACTTCCAGTCGTTCTGGATGTGGTCGTAATGTCTGCAGGAAAACAAACAGCTATGCTATACTACAGAAAATATTTCAAATTCCTATTAAATTATTAAACTTCTCCGTAGTGTTAAAAAAAAATGGTAGATTATGTTGATAACTAGTGCTTGGAAAGAATATCTTAGAGCATACTCCAAGGTACATTAAAATTTTGAAAAGAGATAGAGAGAGAAAGAGAAGGGGAGAAAAAGAAAGAGACATACTTTTACATTACTGCTTGTCACATCAGATGCAAGTAAAATTAGTTTCTCAACATGACTTTTCATTCTATGTTCAATGGGACGCATTCTTTCCAAAACCTGCAATAGTATATTCAAAATTTTCAATAATTATAGAACAATTTTCTAATTTAAAGTTGTAAGAAAATAAAAATATAAAATAAAAAAAATCGAGAATTTACCGTTCTCAAATAAACCAAACGTTCAATAGCTGGATCACCTTGTATACTATTTCCAATACTCATCTGATACATCAAATATATCAAATCACGTGTATATGCAAGCAAGTTACGATTTTTCACTTCATAAAATGATATTCCCTGCATAAAAGTTCAATTAATGTAATAAATAAATTAAAACATTATACTAATAAAATCATTAGAAATATAATTAAAAAAACAAAAAAAAAAAAAGGGAAGAGAAAATTTAATTAATTTCAAATAGTTTTAAACATGAAACAAATCTTCGCTTTGAAAAATTTCGGCTCATATAATTAGTTTTCGCTATGAGTGGAAAACTTATAATCAATTAAGGTGCTAATGCTAAGAAAGAAAATTTAACCAGAAAAATGATAATATTGAATTTAAAGCAATGCCTACATCTCGTTCTTTTTCTTTTTGAAGTTGAATACAGAATTCTTTGGCCACATTTAGCAATTCAGTTGATGTTTTCACGCAATCCGCAACAACACTCGTATAACGTTTCTGTTCATCGTCTGACATTTCGAAAAATTTAACTGAAGAAATGGTTAACATAATGCATTAATACTCCTTTCATTATCTACATTTAATGTAGCCGCAAAAAAAAAAAAAAAAAAAAAAAAAAAGAAAAAACGGATATTTGATTAATCAATCCATTTCAGTTATTTTCCGAAAAAAAAACCACTTTGGGTCATTTGGGTCAAAAAAAAAAAAGATATCAACAAGATCGCTTTGATTACAATCGGAAATTACATTGCATGCGCTAACATTGGTTTGTATAATTGTTGTACTAATAATAACTTTCATTCAATGTGTTTCCATTTAATTTGTTACTTTCAATTTGTTTAAAAGAATAACCAGAAAAAAAAAGAACGGAAACAAAAATAGGGATTCAAAAGAATCGTTTTGACATCAAGTTTAAAAATTGAAGAATCTATCACATCACATACTTTATTAAATCACAGTTTGTATGCTAATGAACAGCAAAATATCAATGTTATGAACAAATTAACGAGCTTTGCCCTTACGAAAAAACTGCAAACGCTTGCACAGAAGAAAAAAAGTTTCATAAACATTCTTCAAATAAGCAAATAAAACCAATCGAAGTAGACAGACAACTTTTAGTATATTTAAAAAAAGATTGAAGATGCCTAAAGTGGAATGAATGAAACAGCACTGAGTTTAAATATAGTTATTGCCAGAAAAGAAAAAAATGCTCTGTATACCTCCTAATTTAAAGACACACATATTAATGAATAGCACTTGTGGTAAAATATCACAGTAATTCAAAACCAAGACATTAGTAAAACAAAGGTAACAAATCACAATCACTATCACTTTTCTCTCCAATCAAAATCAAAAACACCGGGAAATAAACCGAAATCAAAATTTGATCAACTTCTTCTGAAGTATAGCGCAATTATAAGATTCCAACATTTTCTTTTCTTTTCGTCTCAATAGTAACTATCAATTTATGAATGATATGTCCGAGAATAAAAAAATAAAAAAAATAGATTGATATCAATAAATTTTTGCAAATTTTCATTCTTCAGAAAATAAAGTTTTCAGAATATGCTTCAGCCAACATCATCTCACATAATCACAACACTGACAGGCGATTCACTGAGGAAGCTTTACAGTGAAATATTAAAATATTCTAATATTCCAACCAATGATTAATAAATACAACCAAAGCAATCAAATATTTTCACTGTGGCTACAACCTGGTTCGTCGCTTCCATCATTTTTTCCTTCATTCCCACTTGATTTTGTCCAGCTACCGGTTGCATAAACAACAAACATTTCCTTTAGAAATGACAATTCTTTTTGAAGCCCTTCAACCTATAATAGTAAGATATTAATATTGTAAAGCTAGCAAAGAAATTAAAAACGAAAATGGCTACCAAAGAAACAAATAAAAATGTTTAATAAATTCACGTAAATTTTTGAAAAAAATTATATAGATTCTGGGAAAAAATCATGTAAAAAAAATTATAAAATTATTTGAGAATGTTTAATATGACAAATTCAAAATGGTGTTAATTAGAATATTAAATGTTAACTTAATTTGTTATCTAATAATTTGTTATCCAATAATAAAAGGTATTTTAATAGTTAAATGGATATATCTTATTGTTGCAAAAAAAACAACCTTTTTTTCCAGTTCAACATTTTCCTTCCTTAAATGTTCCACACGCAGCATTGTATCCGTTTCTTCTCGTCGTTTCTTTTGGCGTGTTCTACAAAATAAGGTGATTTTTTTTTCTTTTTGAAGAAAACAGAAAAATTATACAATTTATTGTCCGAAAATAATTTATCGGGTAATTTTAGAAAATAAATTTGTAATAAAAAAAGGAAGTAAACAGAGACATAGAGAAAACATTTCACATTTCTCAATTAACCATACTGAAATGAACTAAATTCCTTGGCTCTATTAATTAAACTAAGCTTTTATAAAAAAAAAAGTGAAAAAAGAATTTTAAAATTTATTTGAACAAGGATAAAAAAAGAACAAAAAAAAAAACCTGTTTACAGCATCGTTATTTCGCTTTCTTTTCAAAATATATTCTTCATCATCCAGTTTATCACTGTCACATGCAACGACACGTTTCCGTGCTGTACCACATTGTGACGGATCAGCCGGTACCATTCTTCCCGCTGAATACAAATATCCGATAATTCGTATTACTGATCACGTTACTCTATTATTAATTCAAATTATTAATACACGTTACATGTATCATTACTTACGCTACACGTAATCCACTTATGGATAAATCCTTTCCTACCACATAATCATTCACGTTGCCCTATTGTTAATTCAGGTAAAAAGTATGATGAAAATAAACCAAACGCTCATTATTGAACATTACATGCATTACTATCTACATTACACGTAGTCTATACGTGAATTTTTTTTCTTACCACGTAATCATTCATTCACTTATCTCAATAATCAGTAAACAATAAAAGAAGCACGCAAATAAAATGTACCGTTACGTCACGTAACGTATAAAACGCATACGCCACGTCCTACTATTATCCATCATTATGAAATTGAAATGAAAAAACCAACAAGTAGCAAAGTGATCCTGAACCTAATTAAGTGTAGAATGACTTAAAATTAATTTTTAACAATTAATTAAATATTATTAGACATCAAATTACAATTGCTATAACCTCTTTTTTTCACTTTTCTTTCTTTGTTTTCTTATTTTTTTCTTCTTTAACTTATTGAGTTACGCTTATGTGACTTAAATCAAACAAAAGATTGAGAGTAAAACGAAAAGATTATAGTGTGTATATGTGTGGCAGAGAATAAAAGAATGAAAAGAAGAATGAGACTATATAATATAGAATGAGGGAATATTTTAGCAAAGAGATGGTGAAAAAAAAAAAAAAAGAATTTACGAAAAGAGCATTGTTTAGAGATTGAAAAGAAAATTTTATGTGAGAATATGAGTGATAATAATGATAATAATATTAAATAATGCAATTCAATAATTTTAACAATGAAGAGAATATAATTTTTATAGAAGAAAAAGAAGTTTAATTGAATGATAATTAATTGAAGCGAAACAATCAATTAAATTATATGGCAGTCAATGATTCTGTAAGTTTTTTTACTTTTATTTCTTGTTTTTGTTTTTTTTTAATAAACTGAGAATAATAATAAAACGAAAATTATGAGATAAATGAAAGAAATGGGAAAATATTTTTCATTCTGTCATACACTGAAATTATTCATTTTTAAAAATTTATGAAAATTATAATTTCTACTTTTCCTTCCTTTTTGCCTTTTTTTTTTTTTTTTTTGGAATTGAGTGTTTTGAGAAACTAAGATTATAATTTGAAAATTGCAATGTAAAATTATTAATGAGAATTATTAAAATTTGCGCATTTGTTTTTTTTTATCTTTTTGAAAAATTATAAGACCTTTAATCTTTTTTTTTTTCCTTTTTTTTAAAAATTATTTCATAAATGGTTGAGTGTTAAATGCAAGTTTTATTGCCATACAGAATTTTAAAAAATTAAAGAAATTTTAACTACTTACATCTTTACTAAGACATCTAATACTATTTTGCTTAAAATTGCTTGTAGTAATAACAATCTTTTGTACTGGTTAAAAAGTTTTTTTGTATTTTTAGCTAATTATTAGTTTTATTTGATGGTAAACAAAAATTTCAGGAATATAATAATATAAATGAAACAGAGGATATATCATCACATTTTGTGCGTGAATTAAAATTTGGTAGAAATGAATTTAAAATAAGTCAAAAATATATTGGATATGTTAGTTGTGTTGTTTGGGATAGTGCTATTGTAGCATGTCATTATTTTGTTCGATATCAATCATTTTGGAAAGGAAAAAAGGTTTTTTATACAATTTTAATCCTTTTTATTTATGTTTGTTGAAGAATTCAAATTATTGATATGAAAGAAATGATTTTTATTTGAAAAAAAGAAAAATTTATAATTAATGATCAAAATTTAGATTACATGGCAAGTTTTTTTTAAACTTCAACGAGATAATAAATTATACACTGTTGGAAATAAAAAAAAAAGTGCCAAAATCATTTTAGCTCTTCCTGATATAACGTAATATTATAGTTGCGAGTAGAGTTATTCAAATAATCGTATTTATTCTTTCTGATATGTCAATCTTTTTTTTTAGATTTTATCATTTTGGAAATAATTAATAGGATTGTAATTAAAGAATTCTCAAATATATTTTATCCCAGCAGGTTCTAGAACTCGGAGCTGGAACAGGTGTATGCAGTATTCTATTAGGAGCATTAGGCGCAAATGTTGTGGCAACTGATTTATTAGAAGGAATAAAGTTATTGGAACAAAATATTGAGGAAAATTGGGAAGTGATAGCAAGAAATGGAGGTTTTGTTAAAGCTGAAATTTTGGATTGGAATGATCCTTGCGACAAAACACTTTCATTTGATGTTATTGTAATGATCGATGTAATTTACTATTTAAGGGTAAAAATTTTTATTATATCATGTTTATTATTATTATTATTATTATTATTATTATTATTATTATTATTATTATTATTATTGTTAATTTAATTAATTTCTCATGAAAACTTGTCATGAGTAGAACTTTTCAATATTTTTAGTGCTGAATTTCTATGCTATTAATATCATCCAGAAATTCTAGACTTTGTCTTATGGAACGAATGTAAAATTACGGCCTATAAAATTCCTTTCTAAAAAAAAAGTTTATGATAAGCAAACTTGGTGATTTTTGAATTCTAAAAAAAAGAGAAATTCTAATTTCATTTATTATCTTTTTAACAAATAACAAACATAGTGTGCGAAATGAAATGTTAATTATTGTAAAACATAATTATTAGTAGTTTATCTTATTTTATATTTGTTACAAAACCATGGTTAAAACTTTACATTTCAATTCAGGCACTGGAAGGACTTGTTAGATTAATTTTACGATCAGAAGCATTGACGATTATTTGTTGCTATGAAGTACGCGATATTGGAGAAGCAAAGATCGCTCAAGAACGATTTTTTGAAATGATATCTCCTTTTTTTAGTATTTGTTCGGTAGCAGATGAAGATTTAGATGATGTTTATAGGTCGCCAGATATTAAAGTACTACGTTTAGTACGAAAATGATTGAAATTATTTGTAATTTAATCATGTTTTGAAATGGTTAATTTTTTTTTTTCTTCTAAAACGAAATGCAACTTTTTTGTAAAAAAAATGAAAAATAAAGTCATTTTTGATAGTTAAAAAAAGCAATAGTTTAATTACAAGTGTTGAATTCTCTTTTATGAATTGAAAAAGTTCTGCTTATCACTCTAATGTTATTTTGAATTACGGAATTTCTATTTTTCTTTTCTTTTTTTCTCCTTTCATTTTACTGCTCAATTACTCATTTGTTTATTTAGTAAGAACTTCGACAATATTTTCATGCAAAATTTTTTTTATTCTTTATAGTCTTCGTTTAATTTACTTTGATCATTTCTTCAGCTTTTTATAATTTGTGATTTAATTATTAGCTCTTACCATGTTCTATTGTTAGTCAGAACAATATATTATATATTATTACATGTTATGAAGAAAAAAAAAAAGCAATTGAGATTCAAAACTGTGATTTTGTAATTATTACTATATTTACTGATTATTTATTCCTACTATCAATAATTCAATTATTTTTTATGTTGATAATATGTCTATAAATGCAGAAAAAAGAAAAAAAAATGTTGTTGCAAAATATACGCTTTTTATATGTTTACTTTGTCACTATTCAACTTATATCTTATTTTATTATTATAACTCTTTTCCAAAATCTAAATTATTTTTTGTAATTATTATCAAATTACAAAAATTTTTTTGGGTATTAGGTGCATATTTACTTGTCGTTAAAGTTATAGTCAAAAAATTTTCTTTTATTCCGATTGAATATGAAAATTTAATGATTTCATCTAATTTCTAGTTTCTAAATAAGAGCGACCCTTAAAATATTGATTACTTTGATAAGGTTAATAAAATTATGATTACATCTTTTAAAATGGTAATCTATTGAAAAGGTATTGTATAATCTAACAAACTTTCTGTTGTAGTATTAATTATTAACTGGAAGAATTTTCTTTTCTTGATAAAAATAGATGAAATTTTTTTTACATAAATTTTTGATGAAAAAATTTGTTTAAATTTTCATTAACACATATTATAGTTTCGAAGGAATGAAAATTAAAATTTTAGAAATTGACATATCGCACTCAACAGTTCATAATTAAGTAGAATTTATTTCATTCTTTGATTGAAATTTTACTTTTATCATGCATGAATTTTCATATATGAATTTATTTCAGAAATTATGTACGATCCATCATCCAGTGCTAATATCAGCGAAGCAACAATTGATCATTTTTCGTTAAATTGGACAGTTGATTTTTGCAAATGTCAAATATTTGGAAGTGTTGTTTTATCAGTACGTATCATCAAACCAACTGATAAAATTGTAATAATTTTTCATTTTACAACATTTATTTTCAAATAACGCATAATTCCAGTAAAAATTTCCCTCGTTTTTTTTTAATATATTTTTCTTATTTTAAGGAAATAATGAATGATATTTTTTAATCTATAAATATTTCGTGTCATAACACATTTTAAATTCACTGTTTTATTTTTTGAAACTTTTTTGTTTATATTTGTTTTGACCATAATAAGAGTAAGGTTATCTAATTGTTTAGTTAATATTTATAATTAATGATAGCGTAATTATAATGGCTCATATAGTGGTTCAAATTAAGATATTTCTGCCATTATAACTATGAGTTCAATTATATTTGTTAATATATTTTATTTTCTTTACAAAAAGAGAAAATCAGTTAAAGTTTGACATTAAAAGTAAGTCATACTTTACCTTTACTATCTTTTTTGATACTCTTTTGTAAGCTACAAATATTTGCTTATTATTCAAAAATCATAATGTAGAAATTTATAAAGTATATTCTTATCTTTTTTTACTCTTGCATTAATAGCACTAAAATCAAGTTATTAAAAAAAAAAAAAACAATTTCAGATTTTGGATAGTCGATCGTTGGAAATAACAAATATTAAATTGGATAATGAGATTGTCGATTATCATGTGAAAAATGCTGATATTTTGGGTGAAAAGATAATAATCAATGTGGGTAAACGGAATGATGGTGACAAATTGTAGGTTTTTTTTTTTATAATAATTAATTAGTTATTGATTGGTATGAAAATTTTAATCATTTAATTGACTTTTCATTTTTTTATAATCAATTTCAGTCGTTTCCGGAGATTTATAAATTCCTTTTTTTTCGTCATTTACGTCTGTAACATTGAAATATTCTATGATAATGATTAACAATGAAATGTTTACAAGTATAGATCATATTTCATTGAAAAGATTTCTTAAATCATCATGTGTTTTTTAAAATTTGCTTTAGGATATTTGCGTAAAAGAATTATTTGTATTAATTTGATATGAATTTATCTTTTTGTAGGCTTATAAAGTAAAGCTTAAAGTGTTCAAATAATTAAATTTATTTGCAATAAATAATTTCTAAAATTATTCATTAATATTTTCAATTATTATTAAGTAATAAATGTATCATTTCAATTTCAGTAATCTTACTATCATCTACAATACAGGCGAAAAATGCTCAGCATTGCAATTTTTGAAAGCTGAACAAACTGTAACAAAAACAAAACCTTACTTATTTAGTCAATGTCAAGCCATTTATGCTCGTTCAATAGTACCATGCATGGATACACCTTCCGTGAAGCAAAGTTACGATGCTGTGGTAGGTTTATCGTTTTTTTTTTTTCTTTTAATTTTTTTTTTTTTTTTTTGAATTATGTTTTTAAATCTAGAAACCCAGATTATTTTTAATTTTATTATTTCATTCCATATTTTTTAATGTAGTAAAATTCAAAATTTAGAATATATCAAGCTTTGATCATTTCGAATCAATCATTTTTAGTTTCGATAATTCAACGTTTCATTTTTTTCTCTTTCTGCATTTTACAGAAATTTGAGAACTCTTTTTTTTTTTAATTACATAAGGAAAATTTTACTTCCAACAATGTTACATTGTACTGAGACAAAGTTTCCTTTTTTTTTTTTTCTGTAATATAATTTTTATGTAATAAAATCAAATTTTTTACTCTTTTTTATTTATTATTTTTCTTTTTTTTTTTAGGTAGCTGTTCCCAGTGATTTAATATGCCTTATGAGTGCCGTTGCTGTAGGCCAACCGGAAGAAATTGGAAAAATGATGAAATATTCATTTAAGCAATCAATACGAATACCTTCTTATCTTCTGGCTATTGTTGTTGGATTAATGGAGAAACGTGATTTCAGCGCACGTTGCGCAGTTTGGGCTGAACCTACAGTAATTGATAAAGCATTTTATGAATTTGCTGAAACTGAAAAAATGCTACAAACTGCTGAAAATTTAGTCGGAAAATATGAATGGGGAAGGTAAGATAAACAGAATAATTTTATCATTTTAATTATAAATTTAATAATTTAATTTCTATATATTATTTGACTTATACCCGCAACTACATACCTCCAATTTGTTATTTTTCTTATTTCTTTGCAATTTGTTATATATATATTTTCTTATTGATATGTATATGTTACAGTGATGAAGTTTCTTTTAGCTTACAAATTTTTTCTTTTAACCAATTATTCCATCTTTTTTTTTTGTTTCCCTCTCTCATTTTGAGAGAATAATAAATTTAATTTTTGTTTGAGTAACTAAATGCATAAAATTTTTAGTGTTATAAAATTGCATAATAAATATTTATAATATCAGATATGATTTGGTTGTGCTTCCATCATCATTTCCCTTTGGTGGTATGGAGAATCCATGTTTGACATTTGTAACACCGACATTATTAGCTGGTGATCGATCAGCAGCATATGTGATAGCTCATGAAATTTCACATAGTTGGACAGGAAATTTAGTTAGTAATGCTAATTGGGAACATTTTTGGTAAGTATTTGTCGACCACAGAAATTTACTTTTCATCAAAGGTTAGTAATTTTTAATTAATCTAAAATAAATAATACTATAGCTTGTTATAAGGTTTAGTTGTAGTGTTTTTTCCCCTTCTGCTTAAAATATTTGGAAAAATTTATGTTCGTATAGTAATGAATAGAGTTCTGTTAACGAAACTATTATAACTTATTTCTATTAAGCTGAAATTTTGATTTGATGTTGTATTGAATATTTAACTAAAGCATCTTGAAAGATTGAATTTTTTAAATCATAGTAATTCTAAATAGTTGTATATGTTTCATTATTGTTTTACATATATATAATAATAATATTTATTATTTTTCTAGGCTTAATGAAGGTTTCACTACGTTTTTGGAACGTAAAATTATAGGAAAACTTAAAGGCGAAAAAGAACGACAGTTCGAGGCTCAATGTGGTTGGGAAGTAAACTTTTATTTTTGCTTGTAAGATTGATCATTCATTGGATTTATTAATTTTAAAATAAAATAATTTTAGGGACATTTGATAGGCGCTGTTAAAGAACAATATTCTGATGATCATCCATTTACGAAATTGGTATTGGATTTACGGAACAAAGATCCGGAAGATGCATTTTCATCAGTTCCATATGAAAAAGTTTCTTTTATTGAATTGAAATATTAAGCGCGCTTCAATTGTTTTAAATTATTTGAAATGAATTTGCTTAAATAAGTTGTTTTGAGTTAAATTAATTAAAAATGTTCACAAGATTGTTTGAATTTATTTCTTTTAACCTTATTTTTTGAACATTCTGGATTATTTGTGATCTTTCTGTTTTTAGGGATCAGCTCTTCTCATGATTCTTGAGCAGCAACTTGGTGCAACTTCATTTAATGAATTCTTGAAGAAGTATATTGAGAAATTTGCTCAAAAATCAATAGTAACTGATGATTGGAAAGTTTTTTTATATGAATATTTCTCAGATAAGAAGAATATACTTGATAAGATCGATTGGAATAATTGGTTGTATGATACAGGAATTCCTAAAACAAAACCTCAGTAAGTGAAAAAAGCTGTGTTATCTAATTTCTTGAGAAATTTTTTAAATTAAGTTTATAGTGAGGAATTTTTCAAGAGTTTAGTTTTCTGTTCAAAACTTTCCGTTTTTGCGCATACAAACCAAAGTGTTTTTTTTTTTTTATTATTTTTTGTTTTAAAAATTGTCAAATAATTTAATTTATAAATTTGAATAAAAATGTCTTTCTATCAAATAAGTTGTAAGAGAATTAAGCGATTAAGGTAGTACAATTTCTAAGCATATACTCTTTTGTTGTTTAAAAATTTCAGTTTATAACCAAAATTAATTCACATTAATTTCGTTAAAATTCAAAGCATTGCTGCTTGTATTCATTTCGGGAAGTTATATTTCTTTTTTAAATCCAGAAGTTATATTTTTTATAATATATAATTTACAGATTTGATGATACAGCTATGCGTGAGGTTGTTGCATTGGCAGAAGAGTGGGCAAATATGACAGATTCTGAAATAATGAATATTGATAATAAGAAATATCTCTCACTTTCTGCTTTGCAAAAAGAGAAAGTATTGAGTTATTTACGACTGGTTAGATTTTAATTATTAATTAATATCATATTTATTTCTTCCTTTGATTAATTTAAATAGATTTTCTGTATGCTTTAAATTATTTTAACGCATCAAGATAAATGCAAGCAAATAAACATTATCATTTTTAAATATGTCTATAATAACAAGAAATTAATGGAAAAGAGAAATTGAAAAATTAAAATGAAGTAGAAAAATAAGGTGATGAAAGTGGATAGTATTGAGTTGATATAGTTTAAAGTTTTACGGAGAAGCATTTATAAACTTACTTTCTTGCATTCATTTCATTTCATTTCTCTTTCATTTCATATAATTTATAGGAAAAAGGATCATCACTATCACATGTGAAATTAGCACGTCTAGATGAGGTAAACAAACTATCAAAAACTGGAAATTGTGATATTTTATCAAGTTGGATTGAGTTATGTTTAAAAAATTACTGGAAAGATATCATACCAGTTGCTTTTGATTTCGTTACACAACAAGGTCGAATCAAATATGTAAGACCAATTTATAGGTATATCTTTTTTTCACATTATTTAAAAATTATTTATGCTCAGATTTTTGAGTAAATATTATAGGTGGAGTTATATCTGTTGTAATAAATTTAAAACAAAAAAAGAAAGAAAAAGAAAAAAAGTTGGATTTGTTAAAAGACTTTCTAAAAGATTCTACTAAATGGAAATTGAAAATGTGAATGTTAAAATTATATAAATCGATAGAATCTGATATGAATGGAACTTTTAAATTAAAATTTTTATGCTTTAATTACTTTCATATTTTGATATGAATTAGAAGCAATCTTCTAAATTTCAAATTGTTAAAAAAAAAAAAACGAATATGTAGATCATTAATTATCGACTGTCGTTTTCATATCAGTTATCTCTGTTCATTTAGCTTCTTAATTTTTTTTTTTTTAATCCATTTCATTCATAAATTCATTTAGCTTTTTTTTCTAATTCATTTCTTTCACACTTCTACATTTAAACGTTTTTTTTCTCTTCAAATGAGCTAATTTTTTCATCGAAAACTAATCTCCTATGTTTTAATTGTGAAAAAATTTCTTAACTCTATCTTTTTTTATAAATTACTACTTTTAATTCATGTAAAAATATGAAAGCATTTGGAAAATGTGAAAATTGAAATTTTATGTCAAATTCTTTCAATTTGTATAACTTTAATCATTCACATTTTCAGTTTCAATTTTACTAGAAGTTTCCTTTCTTGCAGAGACCTCTTTCAATGGTCAGAAAGTGCTGGTCGTGCAATTGAGCTATTCCGGAAAAATGCTCCATCAATGCATCCAATTACAGTATCGATTGTGGCAAAATTGATCCCAAAATAAATTGCATTCAATAAAAAAAATAAATATTTCATATTGAATTTTCCTTTTACTTTTTACTTAAATTTTTTTTCTTTTTTTTATATGTGATAAATGGAATTACAGTTTTATTTATTTATCTTTTTTTTAGTGCTGTTTTGATTCGTAAATTTTAAGGTTTATTTTACTTCTTTATTCATTTTTTAATCTTTATTATGGTTCATTTTTTGTTATGGTTTTTCTATATAATTGGAATATAATGAAATCTTGCATATTTTAAAAATGGAATGTTTTAATTAAAGTACTTCTGATAAAGTGATTAATTTACAACTGATCTGCCGTGGTTATCAATTATTACGATATATAATCACTGTTTGGTAGAAACAGTGATTGTTATAAAAATTGTGTGTTATAAAAATTTGATGAACAAAAATTACAGCTGTTTTAAACCTGTAAAATTTAAAATAAATAAACAAATGATAATCAAATAACCTTAGTGAAATGTTCTAAATTTTATAAGTCTTACAAAATTAATAAAAATAACAATTGCCACATTTCAAATGATGATTATAAATGAATATTTATTTCATTTATTCTTCCCAATCACCGGGTAATTTTTCACGCTTACCAAGACCAATTAAAGCAGCCAATGCTGCCACCTGGAATTAATCAAATTCATTTGATTAAACAAAAACAAAAAATGTAACGAAACACAAAAAACACAATTTACCTGTTCAGCCATTTTTTTATTTGGTTGACCAATACGTGATGAGAACTTCTTATGATCAATTTCAACAATTGCTTCGTACCTTTTATCAGTTATGCGTAATTTCTAAAATCTATCAAACATTAAAGTTTTTGAAAAAATTTTACACGAAAATGAAGAAAACATAAAATTATAAATGAACGAAATTCATATTATTTTTATGTTCATTTTTTAGTCTTTATTTTTACCGTAAATTTATTTTTATTAATGCTAAAATAGAATATTTTGTCCTCTGTTTTTGAAAACTACATTTTAAAAATATTTCCAACAATGCATAATGAATGTAAAAAGAAACTACAACCATTTTTTGAGTAATAAATCAATAAATTAGTAACATTTAATGAGAAAATAATTAATTATAACTTACGCATTGATAAATTGGCCGATTAATTCCATTTTCATCACAAAAAGCATTCAAAATACACTTTGGAGTTACTGCTCCACTTCTATCTCTGAGTCGCTTACTAAATAGTTATTATGAACAGTTTCAACAGTAAACATTTAAAAAACAAACAAAAAACGAAGACAAAAAGAGGAGAAATTAATACAAGTTAAAACAATTTTAATATTTAAACATGAACTATTACAAATTATGCTAATGGATAGGAATAATCGGAATAACTTAATGGTTAATCATTATATTAGCTTTTTATAATTATGTCCATGTAGACAAGATATTGTCATGTTAAAACCAGAGAGAGAAAGGGAAAGAGAAAAAGAGAGAGAGAGAGAAGTTGTTATACCATACAACTGCATAGCAAGATAGTATTCAAGTAGTCAAACATATAAATAAAGATGGATTTCATGATAATAAAATTTATACTGAATGCAATTATTTCTAACAAACTTTTTGTTGCAATAATTAATTTAATAGAAGTATAAATAAAAACTTACGGTGGAAATGTGAGATCAATAAAACTTATTCCTGTTTCATCATCCACTTCAAATTTTCGCTTCTGTGTTGCTCGTTTTCGAATATTTTTATAACAGTTATATATATCACTAATGGACCATGCTTTACAAATATCTGAAATACTTCCTGCTAAAACAGTTTCTCGTCCACGTTCGTCAGTTTCCTAAAAAAATTACACTTTAAAAGTTGCATTTTGCAAGTATTTTTAGAAAAAATTACGAAAAATTTCGAAAGTTACCAAAATTAAAAAAAATTATTAACTATGGGAGAGAAGGATATTACTTAAGAAGCCTGAAAGAACGAATAGTAACTTGGCACCTGTTTAGATCCGAGAATTCTCTGCACTACATATTTTGTTGAGGTGAAATTTTCATCATATTTGCAAGCCTAAAATACAAAAAAAATAAGATAAACTTAAATTTCTATTAAAAATTAACTGTATAGAAAACATTTTAAGAAAAAAAAAAAACAGTCCGTCAATGATTGTAGTTTAATCTGCGAAGCTAATTGTCAACAATAACTTTACACAAACTGTCTAAATAACTTTACTAGCAATATTGAAAGTCAGAAAGTTTTAAAAAGACAAAACAAAATTGCACATTTTTTAGATATAAGATTTAAGCAAATTTCTTATTAAACAAATTATCAAAATTAATAATTGCATTCAGTTTAAAGAAAAAAATTCAAGAAACAAAAAAAAAAATTACCATTTTCAAAAATCCACATATTTCTTGTTCCCATGATATGAAACCTTTGGAACAAAATATACTTGGATTACTGAGAGCTTTTCTTGCTATCATCACACTACTTGCACCACTTTGCTCCCAAAACTTTATAATATCTTCATATTTTTTAATTGAACCAGAAAATCCACTATAAATACACTTTTGAAATGGTTAATTAATTAGAGTTTTACAAAAAATAAAATAAAATATGAATTCAGCTACCAAACATTTGCAATATGAATGATAAATTCTTTAAAAAAGCATTCATTATAAATAAATACATCAATTTACTTCGCAATAACTGGAACAGAAACTACTCGAGTGATTTCACGAATTTCATTTAAACGATTCATATTACTTTGTCGTTCACTTCTACGTCTGCCATGCACACCAATTGCTGAAATACCACATCTTTCGAGCATCTTCACAAATTCGAGTGTATCTTCTTGCTAAAAGCATAATAATGTATGAATTAAATTGTAATTAGAGAAAAAAAAAATCAGTATAAAATATTTATGATATTTTAATCAATAAAAGCATTCTTTAAAAAATATATACCTTATCTAATACACGTATCTTACAAGAGATTGGAATTGTGGAAACCGAGACACATGTCTGTACTATCTGAAATTCAAAATCATATAAAAATTTTAGATGTTTCAATGTTTCATTATGCATGATGAAAATTTGATATATTATATAGTAAATCGACTTCAAATTATATTTTAATATTAATAAAACGATAAATAAATGTGTAATTCGACGGAAAAATACATACATTTATAAAACAGCATATATCTTTTTTTTTTAAAATAAATATATGTTTACCAAATTTACATAAAACTCAGCCAATGAAACTTTACATAAATGGTTAGAGTAAAAATGAATAATTAATTATCGTCAAACTTTCAAATATACATTCCGTCAACAATTTATTGATTAATCTAATTTCAGTGTCTTATTCAGGAAGAAAGAGAAATATATGAGATAATTTATACCTCTTTCGCTCTTTCAGGATTTCCTAATAAAGCAGCACCCATTCCGCCAGCTATAGAAAATGGTTTCGGACAACCCATATTGATATCAATTGCTGCTACATCGTTTCCACTAAGAAATGGAAAATTAAAAAATATAATTCAAATTTGAATCAATCATTATTAATTAAAAAATCGAATAAAATAAACATAAGAATAAAGCAAGAATAAACCTAATTAATTAACATACACTTTTCTAACAACATTTGCCGCTCGTTCTGCATCATTTGTTCCCTACAAGAAAACATTTCTATTTCAGTTCTTCCTTTTATAGATTCCATATTTGTATTTATTGCAAATGACAAAAAACTTCCCTTGTTTCTTTCAAATATATATTAAAGTATATCATAATAAGGCACTTGACATCTACTTATTGATCTATTTATTGATTCAGATTGTATGTCAGTTATTAAATTATCAGTTAATTGCGGCAAAGCATACTTTTCTTTTAGCTTATTTTTCAATATATATATTTTTTAGGATGAATCATAAGACTTGCAATTTGTAAGACACATTTCTGCTTTTCAACTCGATTACATATCCTCAAAACGACGTCATCTTCACATGTATAATCAGTTGTTCCAAGAATATCTGTAATTATTCATTTCGAATTTTCAATTATGATCCATTACATTTCTTCTCTGTTTCTACAAAACTATGATTATTCTTCAAAAATTTTCAGAAATCTTTATAAGAAAACTCAAAATTTTTCTTCAAATAAAAATTTACGCTTTTAATCAAACTGAAGAGATAAACACTTAATTTATCAGGAATATTCTTATCAAAATTATTATACTATTTGAAAATTCCTAACTGCTACCATTAACTGTTCGTTGAGAACCTAATAGTTTTTGATCAACAATTTCTTCTGTATATACCAAATCAGCACCATACTGTAGTGCCAAAGTTCTGCAAACAAGAGATAAATAAATAAAATAGAGAGTAAAAAAAAAAAAAAAAGTCTTGGTAAAAATCTCAGCAAGAAAAAAAAAACTACAATAATGAATTTAACTTTTTGTAGGTATGTTAAAATCAAAATTAAATCATCTCTACAATTAGAATATTGTTTTCTCACTTATATTTTATCATCTGAAAGCTTAAACAACAACCATGACAAAAGTTAAACTACATGAGAAATAAATTCGTAATCATTTAATCATTCCAGTAATTTCTTTTTAATCATTTAATCAAATCCATTTAACCTAACTCAAATGTGATTTTTTTTTTTCTTTTTGAAAATAAACATTACATCATATCTCAATCCCCATTATTGAAATATATAACTGAAAATTTTTGTCAAAGACAGATAAGATTAAATTTTGATCTCAGGAAAGAAAATATCTAATATCACTAACAATTCAGATAAATAATAGAATTAACTAACCTAAGCGGTGTTCTACCAGCTCGAACCATAGGAGCTAATATTAATTTGTTTGCATAGAAACTGCTATCAGCCATTGATTGTTGTATAAAACTAAATCTTATGATCTAGCTAACATCACTGCATATTTTGCTCAATATTTAACTTTAAAAACGAAATTTAAAAGTAAATTAGCGAAAGTATTGTTGCATGTAATAAGTTTATAAAAATAATGAAATGTTATTATGAATAATAATATACTGCTAAGATTTAAAATATCAACAATTACCTATTTCTGAATCCTGTTCGGTAAAGCTTTTAAATTTCTATTACATTTTAATAAAAATTCTTCACTGATTTAAAATCGATAATTCTTGTGTAAACAGTGCACTAAAATATCACCACAACATAAATGACGCATTACTTCCCAAATCAATTTGTCAATAAAAGATATTGATTTTCTAAATAAATAAATAAACATCCAAATATTCAATAGCTGAATTATTTTCAGACAAAGATTGAAATTTAATAAGAATTTTAAAACATGCATAATTTGTGCTAATTGTTAGCTGAAATATAAAATGATCAAAAAGTATTTTGTTAAAATTTTCTTTATTCACACAATTTATGTATCCATGTGGAAAAAAAAAAAAGCGTTTTTGTTTATTTTTATATGAAGCGAAGACAAATCTTAAAAATAAAAAAAAAAAAAATAGAATAGCGAAAAAAAAAAACTCCAAATTTTCAGTATTCAAAATTGAAATCAAATGTGAAATTAAAATCGAAAAAAGCGATCAAATACATGACTAATGCAGAATATATTCAAATATATGCATGTATATTACATACAAATTCTAAGGAAATAAGAAAAAAAATATATGAGTACCATAATTTCCAATAAGAAAGGAAGAAAGAACGAATTGAAGAAACAGAAATGCGTTTGAGAAAACGAATTACATGTGTAGTTTATAATTTGACCAGATAGAATATAAACAAGAAAAAAAAAAAAAAAAATTTTCTAACCCGGAAAATCCTGAAAACCTTTCCTTGTATATTACATACATTAAACATTCCTGAAATTAAAATTTTCCTAGGCAATGAATTATATGTGTATATTCCGGGTTTAGTGAACAGTAAATGATAGAAAATAAGAAATACAGATGAAGAAAATAAAAAAAAAGGCATCGAATGCAAATAATTGCTAAGATTTTGCATGAAAAATGAACATTACGAGAATTGTTACATAGAAGAGAGTACCATTTAGAGTTTCAATAATCTTGTTGCTAAGCTTTCAACAGATATCTGAAATTTAAATCTAAGTTTTTTTTTTTTTTTGGAAAAAAATCAAAAAATTGAAGTTAATTTTGATCCAAAAAAAAAAAAAAAAATCACCAATATATTTACAAAGAAATGAAATTCGGTCAAAAATAATTGGAAGTTCAAATGGATGTTTATTGAAACATTTATTTACAGTACTGGAAAAAAAAAATAGCAGTCTAGGACCAGAAAAAAGGGAAGGATAAGATGCATACAATTAAAGAGCTAATATCAAAATTTTTCAAAAAAAAAAAAAAAAAAAGTGTGCTAAAAGATCAAAGAGAGATAAAAAAATTTAGAAATATCGTATACTTAAGAGCAAATTTAAGTTTGAAAATCAATAAAAAGAAAATCTTTGAACGATTAAAATTTATTTCTTACTATTCATTGTTCACTAAGATGTGTTCATGTTGTATAGTAATAGTGTAAATGTACACCGCCGAATACTGTCCCAGAGAAAAGATATAAAATTATCACACACATCAAACACCAGTTCGTTTAATTCATTCACTAATTATGCTTTGTTTTGATTATCAGCTAAGCTTAACACTAAAAACTAATTGTAATAAATGTTATGAGAGAATTTTGTTTGAGTGAGTAAAATTTTAAAACCCAGTTGATTTTGATTTAAAAAAAAAAAAGAAAAACCTTCCTACTGATAAAACATTTGGTTGTTGGACAAAGAAGCAAAGACGGAATGATAAAAAAAAAAATTATACAAACCTAAAACAGATGAACTGAAACGGAAAAATGTTTATACAGAAATTGATATAAAGGACTAAACACTACACAGAATAAAAAGTCAAGTTTGACTGAAAATGATAGATAAACATTGTGATACTCGTCTGAGGTCCGATACTTGAAAAGAGATGACCGCCGTGTCAATGTCGCTTGTTCAGATCTAACAAATGTCATTTAAGATTTCGTTTTTTGTCAAATGAAAAATATTATACGATCCTTCAAAATTTCGAAGAACTATTCATTTATATGACTTCTAATAGCTATGGAAATTCAAAACAATTTTAAGGTCCAATCTGAACTGTCTATTTCTAAAAAAAAGTCAATATCTATTTCCTAAAATTTCAAGTAAATGGTATTTTCTATACTTATATCATTTGAAATCTTCGAAATAATGTCCATCAATTTTTTTTAATCACTGCAAAAATTATAATAGCTAAAAATTTGTAGCGGCATATATCGACGGTCAACTTAAAGAATACCAAAATTCACATTAAAAAAGAAAAAAAAATTGATGATAGGACAAATATCAAAATTCCAGATGCTGGGCGACCAATTTATCCACATCTGCAAACACGGCAACACCAAGTTGCATTGCCGATAAATCGCTACGAAGCTTCCGCGCAGTACGAAAATGCATTGAGAGCAGCGATTCTTGCGGAAAACCCATATGCTCTTGAAAAAATTCGAAATTTTGGCTTTTTAAGGAATAATTTAGAATTTAGTAATTAATTGGGAAACATAAGTTAATCAATCAAAAGAAAGATAACAACTGGAAACAAAAATCTCAAATCTCCCGAATCAAATTCATTTCACATGAAACCATGAAAGACTAAGCATAATGTGGATATAGTTTTGATTTGGCCATTTAATTTCTGATCACAAATAAAATATGTATCGTCTTCGAAAAGAACCATAAATCAATGAAATTTATGACTAATCTATATGTATTATTAATATCTCCAAAAGTTAAAACAAAAAATACTAAAATAACCTCGTAAGGCGCTATTTAATCCGTTAGCTGCTTTTACACGTTGCATTTGTTCAAGCAAATAGCGAAGTGATGTATCCAAAGGTTTTGTATGACATATCAAGGCAAGGATATCCTATAAAGAAAAAATTTGACGGATAGTCACAGTCACCAGAAAATACTGTTTTGTTTATCTCCTTGCCTTTCTCCGCTTCCATTTCAAAAATATTATTAAAATTATCAACACATGGTGGCATTCTTCTAATTTTTTGAATTTCATTATTACATACTATCAGTGAATTATAGTCAAACCTTCCAATAAAGGTTTTATTTTCAAGAGAAAAAAAAAACTCACATGTACCCGGCGAACCAGATCTTCTGGTGGATCCGTTATTTCTTGACATAAGGAATTGATTTCTCGACCAAGTTTAAGGAGTCTTTCTATTTCACCATATTCCATCATATCTTTGGGATCACCACCCGTCCAACCTCGAGATGAAGTAAATGCTCTTTCGGCACTGCCAATAACATCTTGATGTGTGTCACCACAAGTTGGATCTAAATAAATCATAACAAATTTTGAATGCAAAAAATTAAACAAGTTAAAATATTAAATTTGCTGCAACTAACACAATTTATTTAAAAACAGTGAAAAAAAAAAAAAAAACGCAGTAACGGAAAAACTCGTTTTGAGTTCATGACAAACCTTGATCTTCATCAATGATAGTGGTCGCTGATGTGACCGGTTGAGATACGCCGTTTGATACGGCACCATTACTTGCTGCAACACTTCCATTCGACGCTGAAGAAAATTTTTACACAAAATTTATGAAAACAACTTTTCTTAAATACAACAACAAAAATATGCTTTAAATTTTTTAAAAGAGTATGCCAAACAGTCAATGACGCGTTAATTCAAAATCAACTGAATTAATTTGAATTTAGCTACAATTTGCATTCAATCTCATGCTACAATTTATGTCTTACTTAAATTTTTATTAAAAAATCAAAACAAAGCAAAGAAAAAAATCATAATTTCAATCTAACCATGAACTGCTCCATTCGATGATGAAGAGAGGTCACTTGCAGGTTTATCATCGATTAATTCATCAACTGACATATTACTGAAGAATTTTTTATTTCTTATGTACACTAATTACCGGACGTCAACACAGTGATTTAAAAAATAGTAGCCTGAATGATGGTTAAAAACAAGTTGGATAACATCTTACCGAATAACACTGCTACTTGCTTGTACACGAGTAAATCGGTTTGAATCTGTTTGTACTCCTTCATTACCCGTACGTGATCGACGAGTAACACATACGAAAGGTTCTAAAAAAATGATCTCATATTTAAAAAGTTTAAAAACACACCTTTAGTTAATCTGTTTTCCTTTAACACACATCATTAACTAACTTTGCATGAAGTCACAGTTCTATGATAAATCATTTCTATATATGTATATGTGCTAGAATAAGCATGATTATAAAATGAAGAATGAAATAATACTAAAAACAAACCCCATTCATCGTTACGTCTTTTGAACGGATTAAACGTGCCCAGATTTTCATTACTGGCAGTAATTGTAAATGGATGTCCTTTTCTACTATACACTTGAGCATATGAATCGCCTCCTGAAAATTATTATAATCATTTTACATAAATTTTCATTTTTCATTATAAAATTTTTTCTCTACATTATAGTCAACAAAATATGCAAAATAACACCTAGAAAATGCTTTTGCTATTCATTCCTACTTTCCACCTGACAATTCTTGAGTTATTGTCACACACGCAAGAAGAAAAAAAGCAAAATCCTCAAACTAATAACTAATTGTGAAAATGATGCATAGCATTTCAATACTATATCAATTCATTTTGATAGTGGATAGATAAAAAAGTTAGCCTTTCTTAAAACTATTGTCTTCCCCTAATCCTAGCCTCTTTAAAATCATGAAATCTTGATTTTTACTTGTAATGAATATACTAAAAATGCATCCATGTTAACCTGAGATTGCTGAAAGACTACTTTGTGTTGGACGAGTTTCTTCTTTTGGAGATAAACTACTA